CCTCCTCCTCCTTCCCTCCTTAAATACGACGAGCACAGTGGATTTTAAAATTCCTTCATGTATTTATTTAGTTCTCCTCCCTACTTTAGAATATAGGTGGGGTGTTTCTATCTGTGAAGCGGACAGTACGGTGAATTACTGCTTCAGCTTGCCTAGCGCCTTTCACGGTCCTGTCAGGCGAGCCCTCCCAGCGCCGTGGGTGAAGGTTTCACCACCAGCATTCCATCAGCCTATTCCCCGCCTCTGGCTGTCTACCGCGTCCTGAAATCTCCACCCAGACTTCCCTTCGTCTTCTTCCTTTTCCCCACTCCTGAAAATAATTTCTCAAACCCCTCTCCCTCTTTCCCCGTTCCAAATATAAAAATAATATCACCAAATCCTGTTTTCTAGTTCATGGTAGTCTCTTTTTTCTTTTTTCCTTATTTCTTCCCTTTTCCTTTCTTCATCCTCTACATCCCAACCTACTTATCACCAGTACTATCTTACTGTCTACCTGAGTTATTGAAAAAGTGTGACATTTTTAAGCAAGGATTAAATTGTATGATTATTACATAACGATACTGCAATGCTGGTACAGCCAGCAGTTGTTCCCTCCCTGAAGTGGTGACCAGGGCTGGCCCAATGTGTCGAGCTGAACAGCTGCGCACACACCAGAACATCAAGGAGCCAAGTCACACTGGAGACAGGCTCAAAAGAGACCTCCAAAGCGAGGACACGGGCCTCTCCCTAACTGACCACAACGCTCAGCACAAAACAATACACACACGAGGGGAAAGGCAAGCTCCTAGTTTCCAGAGAGGAGTGGATGGAAGGAAAGAAGCCAGGCAGGCCTGGTGTGTTGGTGCACACCTGCAATCTGAGACACTCAGAAGCGCGAGGCAGGGCACCACAAGCTGAAGGCCAGGCTGGGTAACTTAGGAGGCCCTGCGAGAAGTAAGAAGGCCGTGGGACCCAAGGGGAGGTGGGACCCTCTGTCCCACACTGGCTATCCCGGCAAGAACCAAGGTGCGCACAGTAGCTCCCGGGAGTGCGCGCACACACACACACACACACACACACACACACACAGTCCCAAAGGCCGGGATCACAACGTGGCAGTGGCTGTGGGAGCACATGGGACCAAGGGCCAGCCTGACCCAGGATGCTGGGCTTGGAACCATCGACCCACTGCCATCAGCTGCTGACCCCCACTGTGTGCTGGGGGCCTGGACATGTAGGGGACCCTGCCTGCACTGATGGGCACCACAGACCCCACTGTCAGCCCCAGGAAGGGCAGCGGGGTGAGGGTCACAGGCGGGCCTCAGGACACAGGGCCCGCACCGGGGCGTGGAGGGTCTCAGAGCCAGCGTCCGAGGAGGTGGCAGTCAGGTCCTCACTTGAGCAAACCTGCCGGGCGCTCCGTGCGTCCCCGCACAGGGCGCCCCCACACCAGAGACGCGGCCTGGCCCCCGCAGGTCGTGGCACGGACGCAGGAAGGCCGCTCACCGCACCAGCCACCCCAGGAGACCCGCGCGGCCAGGCCCGAGAGGGACCTGCTAACCAGGAGCCCCCTGGTGCCGGGCCGATTCCGCTGCGCTGCTCTCCCAACCTGGGAGGTGGCCAGCGAGCCAGGCCGGGGGTCTCGCGGAGAAGGGCCACAAACCATGGGAAGAGGCTGGGAGTTTTACTGGGAACAAGGAGAGGTGAGCAGCTCCTGGATTTTCAGGAGGGGTCCCGAGTGGCGGCCGCCGAGGCCCTGAAAGGGGTGATTTGTCCGAAGGTCACGACGCGGCCAGGCTCCAGCCAACCGGAAGGACTGCACTGGAGCCGCTCAGCTGGTACCGAGCAGGCGGCAGCGAGGCACGGAGCGAGGCACCGAGGAGCCGGGGCTGGAGGGGCGGGGAGGGGCGGGGCGGCGTGCTCCGGGCGGGCTGGGCCTCAGGCCTCTCTGGGCTCCCCGACCTCGGGCTGCTGCCCACGTTTGTCTCGCTAGGCCCGGCTCTCTTCAGGCTCCGCGCCAGGCGGTCTCCGCGCTTCTCCCCGTCTGCGCGGACCCGGCCCGGCCTCTGACTGCAGTTTCCGACAGAGCCGGCCCCGGGCACCGCCCTCCGGACTCCGCGCCTTCGCCGAGGAGCGAAACCGCCACGAAGTGTGCGCCAAAGAAGCCTTTCCTCCCCGAACTCTGCGCGTCGGGTAGTGTGTCTCCACAAGGAGAAAAGGAGCGAAGACCTCGCGAAGCACACCCTGGCCCTGTGTCCGCAGTTTGGGGACTGGAGCAGCAGCCACAGGCTGGGGACCGCGGCCGGACGCTGAGCGGGGAGAGGCAAAGGCGGGCGGGGAGTGCTGGGCAGATAACAAAAGGACAAGAAAAGAGAAAAGGGGAAGGAAGCGAAGGGGAGGAGGGAAGTAGAAGGGTGGGAAAGGAAAAAGAGGGGGAAAGGGAGGGTCGTGAGGGAGCTAGGAAAAGACCAAGCAGGCTGTCCAAAACACCACCGAAAGTTAAACAGGGAGATGCACGAAGGCGCTCCAGGGCCGAGGCTGCAGCGGGGCGGCTGCGAGCTTGCCCAGCAGGCTCGGTGGCCGGGCTCAGGCCGTGCTGCTCAGAAGTGCGAGGTCGTCCAGGTCTTCGAGGTCGTCGGGCAGAGGAAGAGCGGCCCGCCCCCAGCTGCTGGCATTTCTTTGTTTCTCGCACGGTTGGCGCCTCGCACGCACACAGCAGCACTAGAAACACCTGTCATGCCGAGGAGCGGAGGACTCAGCGGCCAGGGACACCGCCGCTGACCAAACGCAGCCACTTGAAGTCTTGTCCTCCGCGCACTCAGACACGCACGGCCTGGCCTGGAGAGGGATGCGGGACTGACAGCCGGCGGGTGAGGAGGGTCAGCCAGAGGACGCCCGGCCGCGCCTCTCCCCCTCACCGGCCGGGGGATCAGGGAGCCCACGGGGAGAGCAGTCGCGCCCGGGCCCTTGCCGGAGCAGTGGGGCGCGGTCAGGAGGCAAGGGTTTGCCTGAGCGTGAGCGCTGCTTGTGCTTCGGCCACTGCTCAGAACCCAGAACCGCCGCTCCAGCCGACATTCTCCGAGCTCCTTCCGAATCGCATCGCACCGGCTTCCTCTTGATTCGCAAACGTTTTCTGGACACCCCAGGGGTGCCTCGTTCCTTCCCTTCGGATTTGCTCTCTGCCCTTCTCCATTCTGCCCGCGGGGACTGCGTCTGTGAGGAGCTGGGATTTGGCCGTGGGCAGCAGAGGCAGGAGAGGGCCGGAGCGAGGCGAGGTCTGCTTTTCTCCGAGCCCCGGCCAGGCAGCAGCGGGTCAGGTGAGCGCCTCCTCCCGAAGCCAGGAGGTCTGCCCTCCAGGGTCTGCTTGTATCTTCATTCCGTTTGAGCGCGGCCTCCAGAGGCTGGGAGCCTGGGCCCAGCATGGTAGCGCTGAGATGACGGCACCTTTGAGAAGTTGGCCTCCTGCGAGTGACCGGTCCGGGGGGCCCCGCCCCCAGCAAAGACGGTGACTAGGGTCTGGGACCGAGTTAGGTCTCTGGAGAGTGGGTCGTTATAAAGCGGGTACATCTGCGTGTGAGCCCCGGGCTCCTGTCTGACCATGTGGTTTCTTCCAGGCATGTTTCTCACATGGTGAGGCCCTCCACAGTAGAGCTCTTACCAGGGGTAAAACTGATGCTGCTATCGACATTGAACTCCGACATTGTGAGTCATTAAACATTTCCACTTGTATAACTCACTTAGGTATTTTGTGTTTTGATGTGTTTTCTTTTTCTTCTTTTTTTTTTTTTTGGTACTGGGGATCGAACTTGAGACCTTGTGCTTGTGAGGCAGGCGGTGGAAACACTGTGCTAAATCCCCAGCCCTGTTGTGTTTTCTTTTGAGACAGGGTCTTGCTATATAGTCCAGGCTGGCCTCAAACTAGTGGTGACCCTCCTGCCTCAGCCTCCTGAGTGCTGGGATTACAGGTGTGCACCACCACACCCAGCTAGATATTTCATTTTAACACCAGAAAACAAACCCAAACATTGCTGGGTTAGGCTTTGCTGTCGTTCAGTCAGGGACCAACGCATTCCCTTGGTGGTTTCCTAGGATCTCCCTCAGTCATTTGAAAGAAACACCCTCAGCATCTCCCCAAGGGATCCAGTATATAGCCCGCCGAGGACCTGTTTCCACCTGGATGTGGACTAACTCAAACCCATGCTCCTGAGACGTGGACTCTTTCCGGACACCTGGTGAAGGAGGCGTGAAGGCTGACCACCTGTGTGGCTGGGTCCTGCCTGGAATCTGGTCCCCAGCACCCGGTGGGGTCAAAGGGCGGTTGTGACCAGACCTGGTTCCCCCAGACTCACAGTGTGCACCTTCAGCTGCTGTGTGCAGGGGAAGGAAGGGGAAAAAGAATACAAAGTTTTCAAGGAAGAAGACTTTACTGTGATTTGCTTCAGGGGAAAAACAGGCTACTTCAGACTCACATCACAATTAGAACTGAAATAAAAATCCCTATGAACTGAACTTGGGAAGCTCGGCTAATGATTTCAATAAATACTTTTTCCTCAAAGGAACAATGCATTGAAACTGAGGCTAGGAAGATGAAGGATTTTTAAAATTCCTTTCAAAAAGTTAGCTAATCTCATATTCCTTATAAAAAGAAAGTAGTCTACATTTCTTGATTTCTGGTGAAGAGACCTGGAGGCAGCCTGACTTTCACGAGAGAGTGAGCGTGCTGTCCACACCCACAGCTGGATTTCAGGCAGGACATTTGGAGTCGTCCAGGATTTTCCTCAGGATGGCCTTGGTGTCCTGGCCAACCAAGTGAAGTATACAACTGTGTATCATGCACACAAAGAAGCAGACGGCGCGGGAGCCGCAGCATGGTATCCACCCGAGCAGCCGCAGGAAGGCCTTCGCCACTGAGCAGGTCACGAGCCTCAGCCTCCAGTCAGCTCTGCACAGCTCGGGGAAACACCAGGACTTCAGGGTGTCCCTGTATTCGGACACCACCCTTCCCGTGCTCCAGGCCACCTGCTTAAGGGATTCATCATCCACACCGAAGTGCAGTCGGTAGGCCTTCAGACACTGCTCCAGGTCCTCAGCATGCAAGACGCCAGGTGCATCCTGCAGACATTTGGAGGACACTCTTGCCTTCAAGGAAGTCACCTTCTCATTAACGGTCACCTCACAGATGTGGAACAGAGCCTGTAAGGGACCACAGCACCTGATGTTGGAGATGTCTATTTGCAACTTCCTCCTGAGTGTGGGGAAGTCATGAAGTGATGGGTCCAGGCTGGATACCAGGAAGATGGGGGGATCGCATATCCCTTCCTTCCGGAGACTGTCCAGGATGTTCTCCTGGATACTCTGCAGGAGGAGGGCCTTGGAGAGGAGAGTCGTGCTGAGGTCCCTGTCCACCTTGGTCCAGATGGCGTAGAATCGCTTTCCCACGCTCTCAATGGCCTTGGCAAGCCTCACGTGATTCAGGCTGAACTGCTCGGATGCAATGATGATGAAGAGGTCGTACTGGCCAAACTGCAGCTCCCCCAGGTAGCTGTCGAGGCTCTGGCCTGAAGCACCCATGCCAGGTAGGTCCCACAAGGAAACGTTGGGAAACCTGGGGGAAGTGTACCTGGCTGGTGTCAGCGTGGTCCTCACCACCCCGGTGGGAGCTGAGGCCTTCTCCTCGTGCCCAGTCTCTCGCAGGGCGTTGATGAAGGAGGACACACCACTGCCAGAGTCCCCTGCCACAGCAATGCTCACGGGAAGTCTGGACACAGTCTCCACTGTCTCCCTAACCACAGCAACTGCTTCCAGCAGCTTCCCCTCTCTCACGGCCTTCTCAAGCTTCCTGCTGGCTTCAGGTGAGACGCTGCAGCTTGCATGATAAGATGCCACCGATGCAAAGGAGGTGGACAGTGGGGTGTGATGGGACATCAGGTCTTCCGTCATGCTGGCCAGCAGTGGAGCAAGCTGTGGGGGCAGAGCAGCACGGGAGTTAGGAAGACACGCTTCACACCAGTGCCAGGGCTTCCCGTCCACAGCAAAGAAGCAATGATGATGCTCCAATCGCGAGCAGGGCAAACAAGCGCTCACGCGGGGTGCAGGCAGGGAGGAGACCCTGGGGCTGCTCTGCGGCTGTCAGGTCAGGCCTGGCCCAAAGCAGGGCTGCGGATGAGCAGGCTGGGGAAGGACAGTGTCAGGCAGGTCCCTGAGTGGCAGTGCACATCCCTACACACCACAAGAGGGTGGGCAGGACAGGCCACTGGAAACGCCAGCAGCACCAGCTTGTGGCAGCTCTCCACACAGTCATTCCCTGGCAAGGGCCCAGAGTCCCCACTGGGGTTGTCCCTCTGCGTCAAGAATAAATTATTTTTTATTTATACTGTGAAAGAGGGGCTGGGGATTTAGCTCAGTGGTGCAGCCGCCTGCCTCACAAGCACAAGGTCCCGAGTTTGATCCCCAGTACCAAAAAAATAATAATAATACTATGAAAAGGGCTTTTATTTTCTCAAGGTATTTTCCCAGTCAAATTGGGACAGCATTCCCCAATAACTGCACGCATGGTAAATACCTGTCACCTATCAACCTCAACGGAGAAGTCAAGGCAACGTTTCCAAATGTCTCCTAAGATTTCTAAATACTTGTCTGCACATTCCTGTGTATGGACGTTGGCAGTCTGGTTAATAAAGGCATGTAGGGTATTCTAGGAACACGTGTCTCTCATTGGCTGAGTCTTTGAAATGAGATTAAAGCATTTGTGGGGTAGGAATTGGAAAAGAACTGGTTGGGATTTCCCACTGGACTCTGCTCAGGCTTTTAGCACTCGTGTTGTTCCTGCCTGACGGGATTTCACAGCCCCACTATCACGAGTGACTGCTGTTTGACTTTCCGCTGCATGTCTATTCTACTCCTTTCTTTGTGCATGACTGCACATTTTCAAGACTCTAAAACTCAAAACCATGTCTTTTGCTGAGGAGTTCCTCTCTGAGCCTCCCAGGATCTCTCTATTAAATGAGGAGCTCCCAGCTTCACCTGCCCCTCGGGTCTCTGGAAGTGGCTGGAAACCTGTCCTGTCCTCCCAGTGGAGTGTCCTGGTGCTGGCCCCAAGCCCCACTGCCCCATTTGGGGGACGAGCTTCATGCCCATGGCAGGTCCCGTGGTGCTGCTTCTTGTCTTCCACAAGCTCCCTGCACACATTCCCTCCCCACGCCCTTCTTGGGGTGGCTCCTGCCATCGGCTGGACACAGCTTCCCCACCTGCTGCCCCTCGTCCAGGCCCAGGCCCGGCCTCAGCTCCCCCGTGGAGGTAGAGGGCAGGCAGCTTCTCTGTGGCTGAGGATGGGGCTGTTCTGGAGCAGCCAAGTCTCCGAAGCCCCGGTTTTCTGCCCTGTGCCCTGGGCACGTCACGCTACCCACCTCCCAGGGCTCGCGGGGATTTTTCACTACAGGATGCATGTGGAGCTCTCGGCAGGCTCTCAGCTCCCGCACGGAGGGCGCTGGTCTGGTGGAGACACCCGAGGAAGTCACTCCTCAGGGAATTCTTCCTTCTTCCTTCATTCTCCTGCTTAACAATACAGAGGGAGGTCTTGTGTCTGTGAGTATGTCTGGGCTGGGTCCTTTGTGTGCCTTGTCTCATTTAATCTTCAAACTCAACTAGATAAGTGCTATTATTACATGTAATGGTGGGAAAACTGTAGAGTGTTAGGAATAAATAACAAGTCCTGAATCACAGGAGCGTGTGTGAGGGATGATGCAATGCGTGAACACCAGAGTGAGTTCCTGCCTCTCTGGATGGCAGTCAATCTTGTTTAACAGAACTGGTGACTGCTGCATGCTGAAATGTTTCTCTTGGGGACAGTGGCCCACTTACTATATTGATCATCACTCTCCCTTACCAGGATGCACCTTTCATAATGTGGGGAGAGACCGGAACCCAGTGTTTCCTGCTCCTCCTGTTCGCATTGCAACCTGGTTTTCAGTGGTGCAGGAAAATTCCTACTGTCTCAGTTACGTTACTTCCCTGTCGCTGAGACACAGTACCCAATGCCCACAAGGAGGAAGAGTTGATTTTGGCTCATAGCTTGTAGAGGTTTCAGTCCTTAATTGGCTGGCTTCAAGGCAGGGCAACATGGCAGAGGGACTTGGCAGGGGAGAAAGATCTCATGGCATGGTTGCAGGAAGCAGAGAGAGAGAGATCAAGGAACGGGGGTGGGGAGAGAGAGAGAGAGAGAGAGAGAGAGAGACCCTTCCAGGCCACGCCCCAGTGACTCACCTCCAATCAGGCTTCACCTCCCGACATAACACTTAGCTATAAACCCATCAGTGGGCTAATCCACACCTCCATGATCCAGTCACCTCCCAAAAGCCCCACCTAGGGATGCACGAGGTTTTGGGGGGACATCTACATACAAACCATAACACCCACATTGGCCCCACTTCTCAGAGCCCATTCTGGGGACTGTACACCCATCAGGAGAGGGAGAAGCCTAGTGAAATTACCATGGACTTGCCCAGAGTTCAGAGGGAGGTAGAGTTAGGGGGAAACCACCATCACACATCAAGTAGGCTTTGGACCTGCAGACCCCTGAGGTGGCTGACCACGCCACTCAGAGTCCTTCTCCATGGCTCCCAGGGACAGTCCTGGGGCTATATGTCAGGCTGTGCATCCTGCTGCAGGGAGCCAAGGTACGCTGATCTGGGCAAAGCCGTGAATGGCTCAGTGGTGGGTTGGTGCAGGCAGAGGCGGAGCTGGCCAGAAGCCCGGTGGATGGAATCCGGAACTAGGGCTAAGATGGGAAAATATTCTGCAATGGAAGGAGTGACCAGAGGAAAAGAGCTAGTGGCATCTAGGACCATTTTGTTCTCAGGCCTAGCTCTGATTCCCTTGCCTGTTGTTGTCAGGTTCAAACCCAGTGTTGGACGCACTTTGTGTATTGTAAGAGTTCCTCATAAGGGCAGTTTTGAAGGATGACCTTCTGTTCAAGGTGGTCAGCTTGAAGGAAATAGACAAGGAGCAACCATGAACTAAGCCTCATAAACCAGGAACCAAAGTAGTTCTTCCCTCCTTTAAGGTGTTTTTCTCAGGTATCAGTCACAGCAATGGAAAACTGACCAGCACACCCAGATGCAGCTGTCTGTCTGTGTTTATTATAGCACCATTCATGAGACCTGGGACCCAGAGTCAGCTTAGGTGACCATCAGTGGGTGCATGAATGAAGAAAACGTGGTGCACACACACGGTGGAAGATTACTCAACCAGGAAGAAGAATGAAATCCTGTCGTTCACAACAAAATAGATGGACACAACGGACACTAAGTGAAATGAACCACACACAGAAAAACAGACAAACAACAAAGAAAACCCCTACCCCATTAATCTATAAATAAATGACTGAGGCCCTGCATGATCCAGTTTATCCAAAGCAGATGAAATACTTGAACTCATAGCTTGTAAAAGTCCAAACTATCCCAGATGTTGCCTGGGGCTGAATCTGACCCTGGGAGTCTGTCCCTGAGGGAAAGCCAGGAGGCTCCACCTTGGACTCCAAGAGAGCCAGGTGGCACATCCCGCCCTCTCTCCCCAAACCTGGTCCCTAGGCACAATACCAGGAACACGTAGGTGAGAGGCACGAGCTGTGCCTTGCTGCTGTGGGGGGTGGGTTTGATTCACCGAAAATACTGTTGTGCCTCTGAGGGCGTCAGAGGGCGCACTGCTGTGGACACTCCGTAAGCAGAACCAGTCAGACCTCAGACTCTCCTCTGTGGCCTCAGGGCTCCAGCTGCACTGCCTGTGTTAGCAGAGCTGTTAGCCGGAGCTGCAGTTAGGAGCTTTCCACTTACCTGCTGCAGAGGGGCAAGTGTGATCAGGTGTCACTGGCCCTTCCTGGAAGTCATCCACTCTCTGGGACAGCGTCTCGACCTTCGGGGAAGGGGCTGCTCCTTCTGGATGACCCCAAATGAGAACGCAGACCAAATATATTCAGAAAGGATGGGAGCCAGGTGTGGAGGGCTGAGGTCCTCCCCGGAAAAGCCAAGAATCACGAAGGGAAGAGCAGGAGAGGAGAGTCTGATCGTCCTGACTGGCCTCCCAGACCCAGGACCACAGCGGGCTCCTGCTAACTGCTCTGCTTTTTATACATCTGCGTCCTGCCTCCCCCATCTCACAGGAGGGACTCTGGCCAGGCCAGCTTTCAGTTTCTGTTCCTGGAAATGAGCTGTTTCCAGGATTCAGCCAGGCAGTTCCCACACTCTCCTCAGGAGGGGTGAGAGAGCTACAGTGCTGCCGGAGCCCAGCTCCAGGGTGCCCTAAGTCTGCTTGTCTGCTCCAGGACCAGGAGGGCCTCCCAAGTCAGACCCTGCCGCTCCTCACCTAGATCCCCCCCCCATGATGGCAGCGGCCCAGCCCCTCCACAGCTGCAGACAGAGTGCTGCTCCCAACACTCAGCTCTGACACTCAGCTCTGCTGCAACAGCTCCCTCCCCAGCCGGGTGCCTCTGCTCTGCCCTGGCCAGGCACCTGCTCCCCACAGGGCGAGCTAAGCGCCACCTCCTTCCAACCTAGTGTGTGTCCCAGTTCATCTCACCTGGGGGCTGAGAGGCAGCAGTAACCGGACCGAGTGAGTCAGTCTGTGGGATGTGGGGGCAGGATTTCAGATGTTGATAACTTAGGAAGCCCTGATGTGGCTGTGAGATATTGAAAGTGACTTCGCCACCCCTGATTTCTCCTTCCACTCAGAGTACAGCTGGAAGCCCATTACGCGAGGATGTCTGTGGACAGGGGCTTTGCTGGGTAAGACGAGGTTAGGCAGGAGAGGACCAGGTCGCTCACCATTTGCAGAAAATGAGCAGAGGACAGGAGTCCTGTAGGTCCCGGCTGTCCTGTCCTTGACACACAAATGGGCACATCCGGGTGGACATTCTCTGTGAGCAGAACGCACCGCGCGGTAAGGGAAGCTGGGGGTTGGGCAGGGAACGTTAAAGGGGCTCAAGGGAGGTTTCTGGCGAATAAAGAGTTAGACCCCTGCTGCAGAGAGCGGCTGAGAAAGACAGACAGAGAGCTGATAAGGCCCTACTCTGGCTCAAGGTTCAGTTTCATCCTCCTCCTCCCCCTTCCCCTCCTCCAGCTAAGCACAATGAAACAGTGTGTATGGGGGGAGGGGCTAAATCACAGAAACTCAGTACATAAAATACACACTAATACCTAGACACACACACCTATATATAAGAGCATGCACATTTTATTATTCTCTCGCCATATTAGTACGCTAGGATTCGCATGTATCCCTTTCACTCGGCCTTGAATGTGACTCTGCGCAGACTCGGAAGACGTGCGCAGCGTATCCAGCAATGCACGCGTGCGCAGTGGGAGGACAGCGGCCGGACCAGCGGCTCAGAGCCCAGGGCCGCCCGTCAGGACTGACACCCTAGGGCAGAGTCCCTCTCCTGCCACCGAGTCCAGGGGCTCAGAACAAAGACCCTGAGGCCCGGCTCGGGCTCCCGAACTGCCGACAAGGTAGCTGTCTATCTCCCTGTTTCTCTCCTTTTCCCATTAAAGTGATCTTTTTTCCTGTTTCTCTTCCCTTTCCAATAAGGTGATTTTGTTCGTCCTTCTAAAGCTCATATCGCTAGTTATTTTCTTGGTGTAGTGTTTTACTCACCCCAGACAAGGATCTACCCTCATCAGACAGGACAGCGTGGAGCCAGGAGGGCCCTGTCCTCCTGAGAGTCCTTTCCTGCCCAGCCTGCTTGGCCCGGTCTGCCCAGCAGGCCGGAGTCAGGGCGGGAAGTCCACCTCTGCCCCTGCTCACTTCCCTCCGGGGAGGAGGGCCTGGGCCGGGCCAGGGAGGTGGTTGTAGTTTCCTAAGTCTGGAGTTTATTAGACAAAGTGGGCTTCGGGGGGATCGGCACTGGTCACCCTGAGCTCGGACACAGCACTGACCCCCGAGTGACACTCCCACTCGGGGAAGGGGAGGGGGACAGCCTCCCCGCGGGTGATGCAGGGGTCCGGACAGAGGATTCGCGCTGCTCTCAGGGCCAGGGCAGCCCTGCAATCTGGCCCGCTGTCCCCCCACCCCCTCCTGGTGAGTGCCCCTCTCAAGGCTGGGTGAAGAGCTCAGTGTGTCCCGGTCACCGTGGAGGGAGAGGGGCCTCAGGGGCTGGACGGTGAGAGGCACAGGAGACTCGCACCCGCACCCACACCCTCACGGAGCGGGCCCGAGCCCTGCCCGGGGTGCTGAGCACGAGCCCTGCTCAGTCCTGCCCCAGCAGCACCTACGCTCCCCTTCCCCGAGTCACCTGTTAAACTGGTCCAACCCCTGTGGAGATCGCGGGGGGAGGGGGAGTCCTCAAAAGACTGAAGACAGAAATTCCGCTGCCCCCAGCTTTGCCTCTTCTGGGATGTGCCGCACGCAGGACTGGGAAGGACTGGTGAGCGCGCGGCCTGCAGCGTGTGAGTCTCCATGTCGGGGGAGTTCTCTGCTTTCCTCCTCAGGGTTCCTACGCGACCCCACACCCCCAGTCTTCCTCACGGTGTGCTGGCTTCGTGGAGCCATCGCTCCCAGGACCACCTCAGCGGGCATGGGCCGCAGCCACCCAACCCAGCAGCCTCCATTCTCTCGTCCTAATCTGTGCCTGGTCCTGGCGCTCACTGTTGCCTCCACCGCCGAACCTAAGCTGGGCCTCATGCGGGGCTCCCTACCCTGCCTGCTCCCCTCCACCCCACGTCTAGAGACCTCGTCCTTTTCGACGTCCATGGGGCTCTCCCTGCTTTCCCCGTAGCTCAGCACCCGGGGTCGCCCCTTGCTGCAACCGTACCGCCCTGGGGCTTGGAGGGCACAGCTCTGGCTGGCTGGCAAGTGCCTCCTTTGGTCCACTCCTCACCTCACCACGGACAGCTTGTGTTTTTCTACACCCACACCTAGGGCCTGGGTTGTCCCCTGGCTTATTGTGCCACTTTCTTGAGCGCAGGTACAAGTCACCACTGTCCCCAGCAGTGTAGGGGACAGAAAAGAGCAGGATTACCAAGTATATTTTCTACATGGAGGAAATTCAATATGTTCAGGCTGACGTCACCCAACCCTACATATCTCTCTCCTCACACCCATGTATGTACACATGCACAATGTACACACCTAGGCGTGGCACACCCACGCGCACACACAAACCTGTGCCCACACACGCAGAGCAGCCGGCTTGAGTTAACCCCTGTTTCCCCGTGGTCGGCCTCTTGACTGATGAGGATGGTCAGTAAACGCCGAGTGTGGGGCCGACTTGGCCGAGTTCTTTGGCACATGTCTTGGCTGCGTGCAGTCACGGAGGGCTGGATGTGTCCCACACACCTGTGTCAGATTTAAGCCTTTTCTCTACTTACTCTTACTCCACTAGGGAGGAGGAGGGAAGACGAGTTGCCGTCGTGAGTGCTGCCTGTCTCAACCCCCGCCCGCCCCTCGTGTCCCATGAGGTCTGTCTCCCTACTGACTCCCCCACGCCTTCACCAGTGCTCCCCTGATGCATTCGTGATCGTTAGTTACTCAGCTTTCACAGCAATTTGAATCTGCGGGGTTCGTGCTCCTCCGCTTGCAGGTGCTAAAACGCAGGTGCCCGTGTGCAGCCATCAGCCCTGAGTCGTGAGCACCCACGAGCACATGCATGCAGGCACACGCATCTGTACACATGCAGGCCGACACAGACAGAGCCGTTTCTCTTCCGTTGCGCCAGGTGGTGAAGTCACCCACATCCTGGGCTCCCTGCCGAGACAGTGGTAGTGGCTCAGCTCTGGACGAAGCATATTCTGTCTCGCACAGATGCAGCTCCCATGAGTGACCCTGACTCTCGTGTCGCTTGTCTCACTGCATCCCAGAGCCCCGGAGGCCTTCCCTGGTCTCCTGATGACCAGGGGTGAGGGTCGCTGCTGTCCTCTCTCCCTCCTCATCCCACAAAGCACCTCGAGGTGGGAGGTGATGTATCAGGATCATCCCAGAATCATGAACCTGCCCAGCCCAATTCTTCAGTACCTCTGGAGTTTGTCCTTTGACTCCCCAAAAGAAACTGAGGTGGTATCATGGTCAGGGCACAGACAGGACCTCACCTCCCCGAAAATGCTTCCCTCCTGGTTGTGCCCTTTAATTTGATAATGGACTCAGGGGTTCTGAGCTACAAAATCAAGAAGAGGACGTCCCAGCACCCTGGCCTCGGTTCTGGTAGTCAGCCCCTCCTCTGACTAGTTCGTAGTGGAATTTAGTCAAAATAAGTCAGTATTTTGGTTAGAAATAACGAATCTCAATTTGACCATGTGACAGGTCATCAAGGTTGTCGGGGCCACTGGAAGAGAGTCAGAGGACTGGGTTAGAAGTCACAGGTTCACCCCCTTGGGCCTCTCCCCACCACACGATGTCTGCTCCTGTGTAAATCCAGAGATGCTAGTGGACTTCAGGAAGACCTGCTTAGTGACCCCCAAGTCATCACTGTGACCAGGTGGCTCCTCAAGTTCCTGAGAGCCTGAGGGAGTGATTTGCTCTCAGCCTTTGGGTTTCTTTCCTGCTCTGCTGTCTCTGTTGGCGTTGTCCTTATCTCCCTGTATGCAGTTACCCTCCTCCTCCTCCTCCTCCTCCTCCTCATAGTTGCTTCCTTTTAGCCACAAATTGCTGATCCACATTTCAAGTGTTCTTGGACCCTGGGTTCAGGTCCACTCTGCTTTTCGATTGTCTGCAAAGCCTGTTTCTCACCTTTGCCTGCACCCACACAGGTGCGGCCTCGATGCCAGAGGGTGCTGTGGGGCCTCCTGTCTCCTGCATTCGGAGGCCGCTCGCCTTGCCCCTCAGGTCAGATGCAAGACCCATGTTTCAGCTCCAGGTGAGACTGCAGAGAAAGGCACAGGGAAACCTGAAGGATCCTGGGCAGTTCCTCTGCCCGTTGTTAATTACGTTTGCGTTTACCATTAGAAGAAATATCCATATCCCTAGCTCCCGAATGGCTGGGGATCTTCCTTCTACTTTTGTCAAACTCAGAAAGCCCAAAACTTAACTCTGCTGACCTAGAGGAGGAGGCGGGACCTGTTTGGAGACACTTCTCTAAGCCCTGCACAGCTGGTTGCTTTTCTGTGCCTGCAGCTGCCTTGAGCGTGGTGGGCAGAGACCTGCAGATCCTCTGGCGGGCCATCCACAGCCCCAGAGCAACATCTGCACAGGAGGCTTCAGCCCCAGGCCCTTCCCCTTTCCCTCTCCAGGTCTCCTCCCTGGTGTCTTGTTCCGTTTTCCCAGAGCCCCTCTGAGCACCCTGACTCCCTTATCATGCATGATGACCACCCTGGTCAAGGGGTCCCCAGTGACGTGCCAGGGCTTGGTGCCAGGGCTGGCAAAGTGTGCAGTCAGCACAGCATTCCTACCGGGGAGTCACAACGGGACAGTCCCTGGAGTCCTCTTCCTGCTGGGAAATGCTTCTCCTCTCTTGGAAGGTTTGGAAACTTGCCCACGTGTCCCCAGGACCCCCTCTGGCCCTGGAAACCCATCCCCCGGGTCCTGGCTGTGACCTCCCGGAGGTCCTGAGGAACCTGCCTCCCCTGGTCTCCAGTCTCTCTCTGACCTCTCCTTCCCTAAACATACCCCCCCGCAGCCACAAACTGTTCAGTTTTCTTTTCCTGGAAATGCTTCTGCTGACCATAAAGAACATACAGCCCGCCAGTTTCGTTTTTGTTTTATCAACAGCCAGCCCACTCCCTGCTGAGGCAGAGGCTAGGAGGCTCTTCCCTTCTTCCTTGCACAGCGGGGCTCCTTGCAGCACACGAAGGGCACGGGGCACACGTCCCTCCCCTCCCGCTCCCTGTGCTGACCCAGGAGGACACCGAGCCCTTTCTGGGAGGACAGCGTTCAGTGGGGCTTCGTCGCTGTGCTGTGGACGGCAGCGAGCACTTCCGGCTCAACATTTCTCCCCCTCAGCGGACACACCAGACCTGTTCTTGTCACCAACGATCTGTCTGACCCGGTGAGTGAGAAGCTCCAGGATCCTGCAGGGATTGGGTCCAGCTTTGAGCCTGGGGGCCAGGCGCAGGGTTGCCTGTCTGTGAAGGTGAGTCCGCTCACCACTTCACACGCCAGGGAAACTTGTGTCTGAAGACTCCTTTCGGTGTTCCTGTTGTTGTGTGGTTGGTTGTGAAATTGTGAGAAAATTTGGACTAAGCAGAATCTTTGCTGGGTGCCTCCCCTTGGAGACTGTGCAGTGTGCCGTCCAAATATCTGGGTTTCGTGATTCTAGCGCGTCACTGGCATAGAAATGTTTTACAAGTCTGTTTTCCATAATTGATATGCAGTGTGTTTCACTATTGACACATAAAATCTGTTGAGTCCAAGTGACTCCTGCTCCTCCCCATCGCAGGCAGGACTTTGTCTCATGTTTACATTCACAGAAAGGCACTCCAGGATGAATGTGTCCACCCTTCAGAGTCTAAAAGAACTCTGCTGCTTCCAACGCCTGCCGTGTTACTTCATTCGTAATCCATAACATCCTTCCTGTTGTGGGGTCAGAAGGGACCCCTCGGAGGGTGACAAGATCCAGGCCCTTTTTAGAGGGTGGAAAATGCAGGCTCTGTGTGGCTGAGGGCAGCAAACAACGTCCAGGCAACTTGGTAATTTGAAGCTGACAGCCTGTGGTTTCACACCCAGTCTGTGCAGGCCACCACCCGCCTCAAGTGTCCCTTCGAGTGGGTGACTTCCCCGAACAAGCTGCTCTGGAAAGTTCCCCAGAGCCCACAAGGCCAAACCTAACAAGCCCAATCAAGTGTGGACCCTGAGGGGTGGAGGTGAGACCCCCACTGTATAAAAGAGGACTCGAGGGTGACAGCTCTGAGCACACCACTCCTTCTGGGGCGGCTTTGTCCTGCTTCCTACAACACCTACAATAAAATCTCTTCACTGTGCTCTGTTCTCCGACTCCTCTTCCGCTTTCTGTGTCAGAGAGAGACAGGCCCAGCAACGGTGAGTCTGGGGACCCCTACACCCCCGACCCACCAGATTTAACAATGTGTTCATTCTATATCTGTTTGAGAGTCATGATTTTTATTGTTTTGAAAACTATCTGAAGGTGCTAGATAGAGGGAAGGGCCCACCACTAAAACAATATTTCCCGGGGTTGCCTTGGCTTCATCAAATGTTTATGTTTCAAAGTTGTAAGGGCCGGGGATGTAGCTCAGTGGCACTAAGCCTGCCTTGCAAGTGCAAGGTCCTGAGTTCAATCCCTGGTACCAAAAATCAATTAAAAAGTTGTATGGCACTGTGTTTAAGAGGGACAGTCGGAGCTTCTGTTTACATCCTGGGTGACTTGGTGTCCAGTACCCACTCAGATGCCTCCTTGGCATGAGGGAGACCAATGTTAATTAGGCTACCACGGCATAGTGATGACAAGAGTGACTGTGGACGCCGGGTGGCTCATTGGCACCTGCCCTGTTGCCGCGAGGCAGCCCCGGGCTGATTTCCTGCATGGCTCGGCAGTCTGAAGTCTTCTGTACTCATGCAGGGGCTGCTCAAGTGGCTCCTTCTGCAGGACAGAAATCTGCCGAGCTCTGTACAGAGGGCTCAGGAAAAGCAGGAACTGTTCATTGGTCCCCATCGCTGCTGTACCGATTTGCCACAAACTTTGTGATACTTCAAACAACACAGCTTCAGCTCAGGCCCTGAAAGCCACTGGAAGGGGTAGCAGGAGCCAAGACATAGACTCGAAGTTATGAGTCTATCGACAAATGAATTGAAAGAGAAAATGCGGTCTCTATACTAGCGGACTGGCACTCAGCCGTAGGAAAGCATGACGTCCTGTCATTTGTGGCCACATGGATGAGAACGGAGGGCATTATGAATAGGCCGAAAGACAGATAGGTGTGTTCTCACTCATGTGTGGATGCTAAAAAGATGATGAGGGAGAAGTAGAGAATAGAATTCTGGTGTCTGCAGGCTGGAAAGGAGAGAGGGGCGTGACAGTGCATCAGTCAGCTTCGCAGTGTGACAGGATCCGAAATTACTGTGGCTCGTGTTTCAGAGGCTGCAGCTTCAGGGCTGTGGTGTGGAGCTTCTCGAGGCAGGGAGTGCGGGTGCAGCTGCCTGCTCCCCTTATGTTGGCTCAGAAGCAAAGACAAGCAAGAAGGGACTGCCCCAGTTTCCCTGCAGGACACACGCGCCCTCGTGTCCTCCAGCACCTCCGGCTTCTCTGAGTCCTTGGCCCTGGCCCTCTCTCCATGGCTCCCCACTCCACCTGTGCTTTGTCCTCCCGCCTCCTCCTTCTGTTCTTGCCCTTCTTGCCTTAAATCATGTCAGGATTCTCTCGTGTTATTGAGCCACCTGGGGACCCTGGAGCGTTGTCACGCCCGAAGAACTTTGACACAGGTTACACAATCACAGGTTCCGGGGCAGGATGTCGCTGCCTTTATAGGCCATCACTCTGTCCAAACTCCTGGGAGACAGACGCCAGCAGCGTGGAGAGTAGGTAGGCCCTTCTGCGGCGGTGGACCCTAAACTCACAGGAGAAACAAACTGGTTAGACTGACAGGAATCAGTGTGAGGGAGTGGAAGGACCAGAGAGCCCCGCATGGCTCCTCAGCTGACCCTGTCTCTCTGTCTGGATGCTTCATTCTCTGTAACTTAGTTCTGTCTCTCCTTTCCACAGACCTCGCCTAATCCACTGCCATGGATGAGTTCATCTCGGCCTTCCCGACAAATTTGTCGCAAAGGAATTTTCAGCAATTGGCTGCCGATTTCGTGCCTTAGTATGCTACCTTAATCAGTGAGACCGGAGGCATCTTCCCTCCAGAAGCCCTGGCCAGAATCCAAGCGGCTTTCAAGGAGGGGAATCTACAGGCTGTGGTGGACCTGATCCAAGAAATACTCGGTGCGGCAGAAAATGCGGTCCTGGAGCTGGCTGTGATCGGGGAGTCCGGGACCGGCAAGTCCAGCTTCATCAACGCCCTGAGAGGGCTTGCTCACGGCGAGGAGGGGGCAGCCGATGTGGGGGTCGTGGAGACCACCATGAAGAAGACCCCCTATCAACACCCAAAATATCCCAACGTGACCTTCTGGGACCTGCCTGGAACCGGGACGGCCAGATTCGCCCCGGACACCTACCTGGAGACAGTGGGGTTCGCCAGCTTTGACTTCTTCATCATCATCTCCTCCTCCCGCTTCAGCCTCAGTGATGCTCTCCTGGCCCAGAAAATCAAGGAATTGGGGAAGAAATTCTACTTTGTTAGAGCCAAGGTGGACAGCGATTTAGATAACGAACAGAAAGCCAAACCCCAGTCCTTCAAGAGGGAGAGAGTTCTCCAGCACATCCGAGACTACTGCCTGGCTAACCTCAGCGACATAGGATTGCCTGATGCTCGCGTCTTCTTGGTCTCCAACTTTGATCTGTGTGACTTCGACTTCCCCCTCCTGGAGACGACTCTGCTGGCGGAGCTTCCTGCTCACAAGCGCCAAGCCTTCGCACTCATGTTGCCCACGCTGTCCGATGCTTCTGTCGAGCTGAAGAGAGGTTTCCTCAGGGAGAAGATCTGGCTGGATGCTGTGAAGTCCTCGGCTTTGGCCTTCATCCCCTTTGCACCCATCGTCAAAGGCTTTGATTTGCCTGAGCAGGAAGCGTGCCTGAAGCTCTACCGAAGCTATTTCGGTCTGGATGATGAGTCGATTGAAGAGATTGCTGAGAAGCTGGGCACTTCTGTGCAGGATATCAAGGGCTACACCAAGTGCTTGGATTTCTGGCCCCTTGTGAAGGATGACAGTATAGTAGCAAAGGCCATGCACTGTGTCAAAACCTTCTGCTCAGTGAATGGAGGTCTCGCATCTGTTGCCTGCCAGTTTCTGAAAATCTGCTTTCTACGTTTGAAATTCCTCGATACAGTGGCTGATGATGCTAAACTTCTCTTGCGCAAGATTATAAGCGCTCAAGCCTGAGTGAATGAGGTAGAAGAACTGCGCCTGGCCTCAAAGAGCTGGAAATGGACCGCAGGCCTTGCATTGGAAGGGATGGTGGGCTTCCTGCCAGTCCTGAGCCAGTGTCCCCCAGGGTAGAAGAAGTGTCTGTCCAGCCATAGCTGCATGTGGTACCTCACTGCTGTGCAAATATAGCTTGGCCATAGCCTGTTTTCTGAAGATATTGATCTATTTTGATTGAATCCTGACACTACCATAGTATCTATCAGCTTTCAGGTAATCACATGTGAGGTAGTCTGCTAATTTCCATTATTTCTTCTGATAGAAAACATTTTGTAATAATCACAATAAATATTATAGTCATTTTATTATTTTTATTTATATTTTTATTTCATTTTGTTATTTTTATTATTTTTCTCTCTATTGCCATTTCAGTACCTTCTTCACCAAAATAAGAGAAGATCCACAAATATGGACACATGGTTAAATGAATAGTAAAAATAAGTGTTTTGGGAAAATGCAGCAGGACCTGGAGGGAGGAGGCCGAGAGAGGATTAGAGAAATGGTCTTGGATATCACATGTTCAGACCCTCGGTTTTGTCTCTAGGAATTTCTCAACACTGGATAGGCTGAAAGTCCAATGGATGAGGCAAAATGAAGAACAGGAGATGGGAGAGTGAAAGTGAATTGAACTGCATTAAGAAGGAAAGTTGGTTGCTCTTACTCAAGTCTTTACCTCAAACCTCTGAAATGGGATAATCAAATGGACCTGACTCAATGTTTGGGGCCTGGGAGACCACCCTGTTGATTATGTCCAAAGCAGGCTATAAGCAATGCAGGCTATAAAGAGTTAACCCTGCCATTGGCTTGCTTTAAGACGTGAGTCCAAACAAAGCCTACATTACTCAGCCAAGGTCAGAGTGACTTGCATCCAATTTCTGTTCCCAAAATTAAAACCTTCGTAACTAAAAAGACAAGGTTGTTAACTACAACCTATATCTTGTCTGCTCTGTTCCACCCACAAAATATAAGCCTTGCCTGCATCAGCAACGTATCCCTAGCAACCACATGTAGCCCCCTTCCCCCAATTAACAATGATTGTGTCACCAATAAATATCGACGGTTCTGGCTGTTCGGGGCCTTTGCTTGCTCAAGCACTGGTCATCCCAGTTCCCCATCTTTCTCTCTTTAATTCTGTCTCTAAGTCTTTCTTTTCTCAAGCATCATAGCACCAAGCAGGTGATCAGATTCTGCTGCAGGGGTCTCTGATACTGAGGACTCTTATTCCTGTGTCACAGTCACCATATATGCAACTTTCTTATGCTTCCTGTCACGCTGCTCAGTGTCACACCTGTAGAAGCAGAGGGTGTGTGTCAGATCTACCTCACTCTGCAAGCTGTCCCCAGGGTGTGGGGGGCCTGACACATGGGAGGGGTTACAGAACAGGCCATAGTCACTCCATCCTTCCCTGCTCCCCCACATAGGAGAAGATCCTGTACAAAATGAGTCAGCCTTCACCAGGGCTGGAGAGTTAGCTAAGTCACTTTGTGTGTCATCACATGTTTAACAGATGTGTGCAACATAAATGGGGAGAGATCTCTTCACGCTACCTGATGACCATCATTTTCGTTAAAAAAAAATGTTTTTCAGATATTAATACTCATTTCCTATTCAGAATTTATTTTTTCAACTTTACAAAGATACTGATTCATTTTACAGAATTTAAACTGTTCATTTTGTCATACAAAAAAATCAGAGGCAAAAACTTCTTGCATTTTAATAGAGATCAGTTTCATTCCTCTGGTTCTATTATACAAGGACTCTGTATGTTTTTGTGGAAAGTTCATGGAATTACTTTGTTTTCTGATCCTTTGAGTTCCTCATCATCTCCAGTTTTTTTTTTTTTCCTCTTTCAACCACTGGCCACAGGCATGGAATGAGGTTGGGCCTCAGAGCAGGGGTCCTCAGCCTTTGTGGCAGTAGGGAATGGTTTTGCAGAAGACAATTTTTTCATGGATGGGGTGGGAGGGATGCTTCAGGAGTAGATTCACATAAAGAGTGCACAGCCCAGGTTTCTCGTGTGCATGGTCCTGCTTTGAGCTCTATGAGAATCTAGCGCTGATGCTAATCTGACGGGAGGTGGAGCTCAGGCGGCAATGTCAGTGCTGGGAGAGGTTGGAAATACAGATGCAGCCTCACCACCTGCTGCTTATCTCCTGCTGTGCAGCCCAGTTCTGAGTGGCCCTGGGCCAGGACTCCTTGGCAGAAGGGCTGGGGCCCCTGTCTTTGGTATGAGTGGTTTTATTGCTCCTCCTCTCAGTGCGCTCCTACCACTCCTAATGCCACCAGCTGGTGCAGAGTCCTTGCTTTAGTGATAACAGAAATTAAAACTTGAGGCATCCAGCACAGATTTGTAAGGAAACATTTTAATTGGAAAGTAAGAGAAATTGGCAAGGGAGTTTAGCTTAAGGATTTGACAAAGATCAAGGCTGACCCTTAACAAAGGAAAATAAGAGAAAATAGGAAAGGACTTCAGCTTGGGGAACTGAAGGGGACACAGACATCACAAAGAAGATCAGACTGGTCCATTGACAGAAGAATGGGAACCAGTATTATGGGTGCTGGGGTGGGCTGGGGTCTGGCTGATCATTATTTCGACCTTGGTTTTTTACCTCCAGACATATCCTATGGCTTGAGGGAAAATTCCATTTCGTGCTTGATTGTTCATGCTTGGGGAGCAAAGGGCACAGTTCTCACTGGGTAACTGCTCCGGCTAGAGGACAGTGGCCTGCCAAGCTCCATTTCTCCTGGAATACAATGTGATATCACATTTAGGGCAATGACTGGAGATTTTCAGGCATTGGATCGGGAACTAGATATTGTAAAAACTGGTAATTGAGTGTCCCAGCAGTTCTGAAATTATTTTAGTTACTTATATCTTGGTGTCCTCAATATTGAAGGAGGATGAGGTAGGCTTGGTAAATTCAGGGATACTACACCTTGTATTATAGACACTCCTTCAGTAATTAGCATGCCTACATGCAGGGCTGAGCAGGGATCTGACCCAAAGTTTTAAAGTAATAGAGAAGAAACGAAAGCAGAGATGCCAAGCTTCAGTTACCCATCGGGCATCTGTAGGTCTGGCTTCTAGGACCCTATCAGACTAACACAGAGTCAAAGTTTAAAATTCAAGCCCTCGAGGCGGTAGTTCTCAGGGACAGCTCCTTTGGTATAGGCTTTAGGAGGAATGTGAATGGGAACTGGGAGCTGGAGTTAGGAGCCTGAGGTTAACAAATCACTGTCTAAAAACAAGACCAGTCGGGAAGGACCTGTGCAGTCCACAGGAGGATTTCCTTAGCACTGATACCAGGCATGTGACTCAGTTCTTGGAATTTGATCACAGAAAGTCAAGTCTAGTTTTATTTTTTATTTTTTTGCTTTTTGGGTGTCTTCCCCGCATTTTTTATTAGTGCATATTGGTTATGCCTGTTAACTTCGTTTTGGCTGATTTGTAGATGCACACAGCGCATGTTAAGGATCCCCTCCTCACCTTCTTGTCCATCTGCCCCTGGTTCACATTTGTTTGGGGTTCGGTGTGCATAATGCACTTTGATCATATTCATCCCCCTATTTCCTGCCAATTCTAGTTTTAAATCAGTAAAAGCATTTGGCGTTGGGATGCTTTCAAAGGAAAAAAAGAATACAGTACACATTAAGGATCTTCCAACCGAGTACTTACTCCACTAAAATTCTTCTGAATGCTGAGACAACTGATTGACATGGGCAACAACCAGATCTCAGCAAAACCAGTTAACAGTTAATGGTTCCTTTAGTTTTCTGAGAGTCACAAAGTCAGCTTATGAGAAAGAAATTGAGCCAGCAAAATAAACACAAACCTCTCAATCATGCAGCTGAGAAGATGGTGAAAATCAGGTCCAGAATGTGGCGCTCGTGTGCTGGATCAGAGCGAGGCCTGGAGTGGAGCGTGTTAAATGATGCGTCACCCACAGGAGGAATCCGCCTCCAGCTCTCTGCTGTTGACTGCTTCCTAAGGGAGCTCTCAGGCTCCCCGAGCTTGATTCTCTTCCAATCTCCCTAACAGCCTCACCCTTCTTCGGGTAAAACTGGCACTGTAGACTGTGATTACAGGTGCCCGTCTCCACTTTCTCTTGGGCTTGTAGAATTTCAAGGTGGCCTGCCAATTACAGCAAGCGCTTCTAAGTACCTTTTTTAGACAGTGCTGCAAATCTTTTTTAAAATCTATAATTTAAAACCCACAAAATATATAAGTAGCAACACAAAGTAAACATCGGACAGATATGGCATGTCTGAAGTTCAAGTCAGAGAGTTAAGCCAATATTGTCTATGAACAGGCAAAATTGTCTTCTCTGTTCGTTTGTCCAGGATCCAAATTCCTCTGCCAACATGGGCATCAGGAGCCAGGTTTTGCCATTACTGTTGGGCAAGGTTTCTATGTGTATTTTACCTAAACAGACGAACAACCCTGACCTACTTTAGTGAAATTTCAGAAGAACCATCTAAGGCCCATCACCTCCAGCTTTGTTTTTGTTTTATTTTTGGTACCGGGAATCAAACTCAGGACCTTGCACTTGTGAGGCAGGCGCCAGAACCACTGAACTAAATCCCCGGCCCCACCTCCGGCTTTGAAGATTTCAGAGGATTAATGGAGCACACCAGAAATACTTGTGATTCCCTGCCCCAAACAAGTACACTCAATGCCAAACCATTGGTGCTAATTAGATCTTGATTACATATTGTTAAATTTTGCTTCATTAGTTGTAACAATAACAGCTGTTGTAAAGACTGTTGCATGTTAATCTCCAAGCCAATGATGACAAGTCAATGGGGAATTTTAAAAACCAGCTAACCATCTCGTTTTACGAATTTAAGCAAAGCTGAACCCCCTGGGACTTTTGCAGTCAGCTCCTCACCTATGATCTTCTAGGAAGAACATTCTGCTAGCTGTTTGGTTTTGAGTTGTTAACTCATTTGTGATGTTTTGGTGACATTTTAGATCACGTGCTTGGCCCTGTGATGAATAGCATTAACAAAAGTTAAAAAGCAGAAAATTACAATTAGAGTGGACCCTCAGTTACGATTGGCCTGACAAAGGAACAACTTGGATTAATTAGGTTAATGAAAGATTCATCTGCCTCTTGTTATCTATAGCGTGTACCCAGGTAAACTTCCAGATCTCAGCTTACTGACTCACAACTAACTTGAGTTACAACCAAGGAACCAATCAAGTTCATAAATTGAGGATTTACTGTATTCAAAAACCTGATTTTGCTGACCAGTAAGATCAATCCATGAGAATACAGCAATTATTCCCATATCTCCATCATACCCCCCCAAAATCCTTACAATGCTAAAACTGATCCAAATTGTGTAATGTAAAAGAAATAGGTTTTCAGTATCCACAGTTGAAGAGTTCATTAAGTTTGCTATAGAAGTTCACAAAACCCCACTGTCTGAAAACATCTGACCAGGAAGGATACAGAGACAAGGATGATACTGATTCTCAGAGGTATAAAGAGCTTGTGGATGCCACAGGCTGTCTTAGTTGCTTTTGTCATTGCTGAGTCAAAATACCCAGTGCCAAGTCAAAGGAGGGAAGGTTTATTTGGCTCACAGATTGTAGAGGTTTCAGTTCATAGTTGGCTGGCTCCGAGGCAGGGTGGCCTGGCAGAGGGGCATCACAGAGGAGAAACGGTTCATGGCAGGCAGAAGGCAGCAAAGCACTGAAGTAGTAGAGAAGCAGCAAGTGACAAGTGACAAGCAGTGGCCCTGTTTCTGTCCCTTACATCCTACTGAGGATACCCTTAGAATGGGTAGCACTCATACCCTGAGTGGAGCATCCTTAATCCTACCCAGAATGATGCCAAACCAGTCCATGGACTAATTTAGTAAGCATACACCCTTGATCCTAACATCACACACTCTGGATTCAGCCACCTCTGAAAAGCCTCGCCCGTGACCGCATGAGGCTTTGGGGGGACAGCTAGACACAAGCCATAGCATAGGCTATCAAGAAAGAGTTCGTGTCTGCTGTCCTCTCTGAGTGCACTGCTACTCTTTAAATCCAAGTATAAGCAGGACTGGTACAAGTCCATGCCACGTAAAACACAGATGCAAATGAGTGGCCACAGAAATACTTAGAAACATGCTCACATACATTAGCTAGCACGTGTGTGCGCTCTGTGGCCCTGGCCTCAGAAACTTTCCTGTCATTGCAGGAACAGCAAGCATGCCCAAGTCAAGATTTTGGTTTCCTGGTACTGAACCTTGTGAAAGGAGCCAGGATTCCTGGGAGGGATTGGGTCATTCTCCGGCTGAGCAGGGAACATAGGAGATGAGCTTGGAGCGTCTGGTGTTGCTGAGGAGTGAGGAAGCCCAGGAGCTCCAAAACTGGCGAAGCCCAACGGACCCCCAATGCTGCTTGACAAAGTTCCAGCTGGGGGAAAGAAAGGGTGGAACACATCGGACCCTCATGTGTTATTGTTTCTTGCCATAATGTTTATAATTGTTACTCTGATCACAGGAGTCACTGTGTTTGTGACTAACAACAAACTCTCCATGAGGCACATTGGTAATGACATATTGAAATCTGATCTGGCTCACAAGCCCCAAATTCCAGTTTCTCTTAGTTCTATTGCCACTTCCACTCCTAAAGAAACCTCTCCTCAAACCCCGTTTCCCCACTCCTATGACTCCCCCTCTTATTGCTGACCTTCTTTTTACTAAAGGGGTCTTACGAAGAGATTGGAAGGACAGACTTTAGATGTAAGAAAGAGTGGAAAATGGGAAAAAGAAAGAAAGTTAAGACAGGCAAATGCATTAAGGAGACAAGTTACTCAGTACTTCTCCAAGTGCTGTAAATATCTCCTGCTCATGGACTATGAACCCAAATGACATTTAGTTAAGATGAATAGAGGTATAGAAAAATAGGGTGCTAATAGCAAACTATATTAACCATTGTGCAGTTTCTCAAGGGCCAGCTGGCAACCACAAGTTTGACACTTAGTTGATTAAATCTCGCTTGAACCCCCGCTGATAGAAAGATTTTGATTAAGTTACTTTCTGTTCTGTTTAGGTGTGGGTAAATAAGGGAACAATTGTAATTTTTAAATATGTATTCATGACATTCAATGAAATGAAACAGCTTAGAGGAATTGTACTTTGTTTAACAAAAAAAAATAACCTTTACTTCAATAGAAATTGCTAAGGCAATTTAAAATGTAAACATGTTCCGCCCAATGCCTCCCAGCTATTGCTTAAAGATATAAAAATAAATCAGACCCTGAGACTTCTCAGAGGGAACCTGAACATTGCTTGAGAAGATTCTTTTCTCATTGCCAGCCCAGGACATCTCCCCTTCCTACCCTGCATCGACATCAACTGCAGCTGGTCTGCGGCACAAAACCAAAGTTTGGGTTTAGGTGAAAGAACACAGAAGTAAAGAGAGCTGCCAGTGGTCAAACTGGCAACAATGTAAGCACCCATATAAATACAATAGTAGTAGAGTGTAAACCAAAGTATAAAACAAATGCACCGGTCCCCACTGACACAAATGTCTAACAAAGGAGAACCGACAAGTCTGTCATATTAAGGAATGCAAATTACCTATGTATGTGCACCTTATGAACTGGGGTGAAGGTTAACTTTCCTCCTGTCTCACCTCCTCCTCTCACCTCTGGATGGACTCAGCGGCTCATTTCTGAAGAACAGATTATAGACAGACAAAAATCCCGAGCCACTGAGCAGCAGGTGAGTCTTCCCACCTTAGCCAAGTGATTTACTGAACATCACCTGCTACCTGGCTCCCTGAGAAACACCGGAGTAATGGGACAAGCCAGTCGCCTTTGAGATGTCCTTCCCAAAAGACCCCAAGCCAGGCCAGTCCTGAGGAAAGTATCAGGCTAACACAACTGAAGGACGTTCTACAAAATTTCTGACCAGTGTTCCCCAAAACACTCAGGGTCACTGAAAACAAGGCAGGACTGAGAAACTGTCACAGCTGAGAAGAGCAGTTTGGAGCTGTGGGAAAGAAAATGATGTGATGCCAACCCGAGCCAAGTCTGGAGAATGGTGAAGACTGCACCAGGGTCAGCTTCTGCTGGTTGAGAAAGGGCTGAGCGGGAACCTCCGGAGGTAAAGGTGAGGGCTGCGTGTACGTGAACTCTCTATGCCGGCCTCAACGCTTTCTTATAAATCTACATTTATTCCATAATAAAAGGTTTATTTACGAAACCTCAGCCCTATTAACTAAATTTTCTGTGCCCTGAGGGTGAAATCAAATTACTGTATTCAATAATTTTTTAAAATCAGAAAATAAATTCCTGAATATATTGTCTGCTCTTAACATAACAAAAAAGAAAACAAATAAAATAATGTTCCACTTTAAAATGAGCTAGAAACATGAGTATATTTTTCCAGAGAAGAAATACAAATGGGTGACAGATACGTGAAAAGAATATTCAATACTTTTTGTTTTTTAAATTCTCAATACTTCTAATCATTGAGAAATTGTAAATCAATGAATAACTCTCATTTTATCATTCCAGCTGGCTGGTTGTTAAAGAGAGGGCAGAGGGTTGGGGAAGCTGCAGAGAGCTTGGACCCCCGAACACTGTTGGTGGGAATGTAAAATGGTGCAGCTCCTTAGGAATCAATATGGAATTGCCTCAAAAAATTAAAAATAGCACTACCCTATATGACCCAGCAAGTGAACTTCTGAGAATGTATGTTAAATTGACATTAGGATCTTGAGGAAATTATCAGCACTATTTTCCGTGTAGCCCTATTCACACCATCCATGGCATGAAACAATTTAAGTGTCTATCTGCAGGTGGGTGGATGGAGAAAAGGTGGTATAGACACATAGGGGAATACTATGCAGCGATGAGAAGAAGGAAATCTTGCAATAGCAGCAATGTGGATGAATCTTGAGGACTTTATGCTATATCAACACAGCCGTGGCAGAAAGACAGATACTACATGATTTCACATGTTGGCTGTATCTAACATAGTCAAATGGGCCGGGGATGGAGCTCAGTGGCACCTCGCCTGCCTTGAAAGGGCAAGGTCCTGAGTTTGATCCCTGGTACCAAAAAACCAAACAAATGAAAGAGTCAAAGGCATGGAATCGAATAGTGGAATGCTGGTTGGCACAGGCTGGAAGGCAGGAGTGGGAAACATGGAGGCACTCATCCACAGAAATGAAATTTCAGTCAGGAGCACAAAGAACGTCTAGAGATTTGCTCTACCACACTCTACCTAGATTCAACAATGAGGTAAGATAATCTGAGAAATTCATCAGGGAGGTAGAGCGCATGTCCAGTGTTCTTAGCACAGAGCACGAACTTCGAGACCATGGACAGCGCCCTCCTCTCACCCTGAGAACTCTCATGTCACCAACAGTTGCTCTCTGGAAGAGTCCGTTCTGTCACGTTGCACTAGTTTTCCATATCACTTCTACAACAAAAGTGTTTCTTTTCTATAAAATGGAAAATGGACTTTCTATACCACTAAGATATGACTGACAAATAACAATTATAAATATATAAAAAGGATAACTATACACTTGCAGCACGCAACGTGGTATTTTGGTACAAGTATACCTTGTGTGATGATCCCACAATTGAGCTACTTAACCTATCACCTCACACAGCATGTGTGTGTGTGTGTGTGTGTGTGTGTGTGTGTGGTTACAACACTTAAATTCCACTCTCTTGGCAGATTACCTGTGTACAATGCCTTTTATTAATTATGGTTACCACGTTATGTTTTATCTATAGAACCTCTTCATGTTATAACTGAAAGTTTTACTCCTGGACCAAAATTTGCCATGTTGCCCACACCCCAGTCCTGGAAACGACTATTGTCTTTGCTTTTTTCTCTAAGTTTGACACTTCTCCAGATTCCGCCTGCAAGTGCTGTCATGAAATACCTTCTTTCTCTCAGTATCGTCATCAGGCGCTTGTCTACGTTGGACAAAGGCCCTAGAGATTGGCCTCAATCCCACGGCCAGTGATTTAATCGATCTTGGCCAGTGAGACCCAGTACAGTCCCTGGACGCCGAGGGCCCTGGAGCTGCCAGGCTGAGGAATGCAGCCAGGAGTCTGCGCCTGGGACAGGCTGGGGAGACTCTGCTCCCTCCCATACCCCTCTCTGTGGGAGTCCCTAGAATCACACCCCAGTGGGAAGGACAGCAGTCCCCAGAGTTCTGTGAGTCATTTGAGTGAATGATTGAATCTCAGCCCCTTATGTATTTTTTCCTTCCTAAAGTCGCAAATTCTGCTCAGAGTCTACAATGAGTTAACAAAGACAATCCTTGCAGTGGAAACGCCAGGGCTTTGGAAGCTCTGTGCCTGGGGTCAAGGACGTGGCCCAGACCTGCTGTTTACTCCGCTCACTGCCAGAGTCCTTAGCCCAGGACTCAGCTTCTGTTCTGGACCCACTGGATCAGATCCCGCCTGGCCCGAAGCCGGAGCCTGCTCAGGGCGACCTCTCCTCAGCCACGGGGAAGCCCTGTCCTGGCCCCTGTGTCCTCCCCTCACCAGTATCCCCAAACTGAAAAACCATGACCACTGTGCCTTTCACTTTCACTGCCCAGCAAGGGCTCTGTTTCTGGGAAGAGGAGCTTCTAGAATTTCGGTTTCACTTTTCTAGGTCTGGAGTCCCAGTGCCCTAGCTTGAGGCTCCTCCCTTCCCTGTGGTTTGTCAGATTCCTGCCTGAGGAGGGCAGAAGCCAGAGATGATTTAAGTCCTCAGAGTCCTCACAGGAGGCAGACATCCATGGTGAGCTCGGCACAGTTTTCCTGTGTGCAGGCCACGCGAGCCCGGCTGCCCTGCCCGGAGGACAGGTGTGGGCAGAAGGTGTTTCCTGTGCCGGGGGCTCCACCGACCACACGTTCAGCTCTTCTAGGAGAAAAGTAGGAGCGCAACCCCCGCACCAGAATTCTGTTTGCGACAAGGAGCTGGTGAGTGAGAAAATACTTTGGTGTCAATACATGCCTTAAAAATAGAACTTCAGATCAGTAAGTCCAAAGCTGGAGAACCTGGATGGTTGGTTCCAGGTGTCAGGAATTTAGAAGGGTGAGGAGGGGGTGGTACATGACAGCTGTAAGCCAGTCAGAGAGCTTAAATACTTTAGATATTTTCAGAGCCAGTCAGTGCCCTGCAGAACCATCACGGGAAGGGCAGCAGTGTCATGAACGGGGTCCTTCACCGAGAAACTCATACCCTGTTCACTGCTGATCTAAGCCATCGGGAGACCAGGGAGATCCTCCTGCCAGGGGAGCAGGCCTCCCCACCTTCTCCCTGAGCCTCGGGTGCCTCTCCTCACCACACTGTGCTTGTCCTTTGCCTCTGCAAAGAGCTCTGCACTAGGAGGGAGGATTCGCCTTGAACCCCAGCCCTGGTGCTTACTAAGGATGGTTCTCTCCCAACCACTCAGTGTCTTCAATCCCTCCTTTGAAGTCATTAGAAAGTCTTCGTCAGCCGGGAGACTGAGATGAGGAATTATGTGCAGGTACACCTGAGGTTGACTAGGTCAGGTCTCTTAGGTATGTCTCACCTCCCTCCCATGTCTCTCCTACTCACACCCAGTGGACACGCACACTGCTAAGGGCTCTGAGGTGAGGTCCCAGGAATCCTGGGCCGTGCTCTGCCCAGCTACCACAGCTTAGTTGTTCAGCAGGAAGTACTATTTAACAGACGTTCACACAGGCACCATAAGGCCATGTGTGGGACTTGGACAACAGGCTTGGGCTCCGTGTGGTTGAAGTGTGCTCAGCACACAGAATTCGGATTTCCACGTGTCCTCTCCCTGCTGTCACTCGGCTCCCACTCTATCTGCTCGGCTCCTCAGGACCGGTCTCAGGCAGACATTGCCACGCCCTCGTGGGCCCCACACCCTGCCGTCCTCTGAAGCTGCACCTGTGAGGCTGATGTCTCTCCTAGTCGGTCCTCCCCGAGGCCCTGGTTGGGTGTGGTTGCCAACTCTCAGGCTTTCAGACTCTGTGTTGGCACGCCTTCTGTTTCCCTGAGGAGCTGCAGGGTGGGCTGCTTTCCTCAAAGCAGTCCGTTCACCATGCAGCTGCCAGATGCTCAAGGTTTCCCCTCTCATTTACGTGAAGAAATTCCTGTTGGGTAGACAGAAGCACTGACATTACACGCATTAGTGACTAACGGCCCCCTCACCCACCCGGTGACATGCAGGCCTTCCCCATTCTCTTCTCCATGGAGAACGCTTGCATCCGCGGTCAGCTGCACCAAACCAGATCTCGGATGCCTGCTCAGGGAAATCCTCTCTGAAGCTGTTCTTGCTGTGTCCTGTCCTCCTGGGCTTCAGTAGGTCACTTCCGGGACGCCCTGGAGGGTGTATCTGATCCCACACTTAGAGCCAAGGGGACCTCTTCAGCCTGTCCTCTGCCCGGACAGCAACTTTGACTGGAGGTGTCTTGATTCCTGCTCTAAAATTCTACACTTTCAGTGAGGTTCAGGACAGAGGTCTTGCACATTGCTCATTCTATTTAGTTTTGAGCATGTGCTTCCTTCCTGGTGCCCTGTCTTAAAGGAATAAGTCTTCCATTATCCAAAAGGTCCAGGACTGTAGAAGCAGGACGATTCCCCTGACATTGGGGAAGGTGGCAGAGAGACCTCCTTGGCTTGCTCCCCTTCACAGAACCCCTTCTGAGGCCCCCTCCAGCCTCTCCTCATGCCTGTCTTCTCCTGATGACGCTCTCCGCACTGGTCAGGCTGTTGCCCCTTTATTACACAAGCTGGGGTTGATGAGCAGTGGGCTCCCAGGACAGGTGGGCTGGCTCTTAGGAAATCCCAAGCAGGTAATCAGCATGTTATTCTCTTTTCTTTCTTTTTTTGGTTTTATTTTTTAGAGCAGTTTTAGTTTCAGAAAAAAGATGTGAAGAATGTAGAGCGCGCCATACGCCCACTGTCTGCAGGTGCACAGCCCCTCTGTTTCTGCACCCTCCACAGAGTGCTGCCGATGAGCCTCCCAGCACAACATAACCGCCCAGCCGGCGACAGGGTCTGCTCTTGGTGAGGTGCTGTCAAGGGCTGGACGATCGCACTGCCTGTGTCCTGTCTTAGGAGCACACCAAGGGCTTTCACTGTCTAAAGTCCTTTGGGCTGTGCCTTCCCCCATCCTGACAACCACTGATACTTCAAATTGTTCATAATTTTGCCTTTTCTAGAATCTCATAAAGTTGGACTAACACAGTGCGTAGTCTTTGGACTTCTTTCATTCAGTAGCATGCATTTAGGGTTTGACTTCCTCCAAGTCTTTTCATGGCTTGAAGGCTCATTTCTTTCTAGTATTGAATATGTCCCACTCTGGAAGGACCACAGTTTATTCATCCACTCACTCACCGGACAGTAGTTGTATCCAGGGTCTGGCATTACGGATAAAGCATCTAGAAACATCGATGTGAAGGTTTTTGTGTGAGCAAAAGTCTTCGGCTACTTTCTGTCAATATCCAGGATCCTGTAGGTTAAGCTGTTTCGGTGGGTAAGAAACTGCCAAACTGCTTTCCAAAGCGGAGGCGAAGTTCTGCATTCTCGCCTGCAGTGGAGGGTCCTGCTGCCCACCCTCGCCTGCACTTGCTGCTGTCTGTGCTCCCAACTGTGGCCGTTCCCACTGGTGTGTGCTGGCATCTCGTGGATGTTTTCATTCGTGTTTCCCTCGTAGCATGTGAGGCAGAGCATACTTCTATCTCTGTATCTTCTCTGGTGAGATGTCTGCTAAAGTTTCTGCCCATTTTTAACAGTGTTGTTTGTTTTCTTACTGTTCTTCGCATCCTTTGAATTGTAGTATTTCATCAGCTATGTCTCTTGCATTGTTTTTTTTCTTGAAACAGGGACTGAATCCAGACCCTTTGCACTGAGCTACATCACCAGACCTGAGTTTCCAAGCTGGTCTTGCATTTGTGATCTTCCTGCCTCAGCCTCCCAGGGTGCTGGGATTACAGGCGTGCACCACCATATGCGGATCTTTTGCAAATATTTTTTGCCAGTCACTAGACTGTCTTTGCAGTCTCTCAATACTGTCTTACATATTGAAGAATTTTAAAGTTTTAACAAAATGCACCTTATAAATTTTTTCATGTTTTTCTTTTCTGTTGTATTTAAAAAACAAAACAGGGCCAGGGATTTATCTCAGTGGTTCTGCTGCCTACCTCAAAAGTGCAAGGTCCCTAGTTTGATCCCAAGTACCAAAAAAAAAAACCCCCCCAAAATATTGCCATGCCCTGGGTCATACAGGTTTTCTCCTCTATTACCTTCTTGAAGTTTGATGGTTTTGCATGTTACAGTTAGGCCTAGAACCAATTTTGTGTTAATTTTTGTGAAGGATATAAGTTCTCTATCTAGGTGCACTTTCTTACATGTGGCTGTCTGGTTGTTCCAGCGCTTACTCTGAAGAGAATATCTTCACCCTTCGTATTGTCTTTTCATCTTCGTCTAAGACCAGTTGACCACATTTACGTGAGTTACATTTACTCTGTTCTCTCCACTCCACTCATGTATCTGTGTGTTCTTTCCCAGACATCACAGTCCTGATGATCATAGTTTTATGCTTAGTCATGCGGCCAAGTGTTGCTGTCACATGACAGTGGAAAGTGGTGTCCTCCTACTTCTGCTGCTGCCTTTCTAAATGATCACCACATGCAATTATTTTCCTAACAGCAAAAATAGCTAACGCAGGGCTGGGGATATAGCTCAGTGGTTCCACCGCCTGCCTTGAAAGCACAAGAACCCAAGTTCGATCCCTGGTACCAAAAAAAAAATAGCTAACACACTGTAAATAGTATAAGGAGGCAGAGATGTTTGGGTGGAAAATCAGCCTTGAAATAAATGAAGGATTCTTCAGGAGCAGGGCAGTCCAAGGCACAGGAAGAGCCTGTATGGGGCCAGGTTTGCAGGTAAGCCAGGGCCCAGGGAACATCTGTCATCAGAGACGGAAGATTGTCCTGTTAGGGTGCAGGACTGGGGATGCAGCTCTGTTTCGACTGTACGGGAAAACTGAGGCGTCCCTGCTGTGCTCACTCCTAATCTTCCCACCTGTGTCCTCCCTCTAGTGTGCTCGGCAGCTGGGCCATGGATCAGGCCTCCCGAACGCCCTGGAGCACAGAAGGTGGAGCTTCCGCCTCTTACAGCCTTGGCACACTTCTAAAAGATGTCGAGATGAGAAGTCGAATCCTCTCACAGGAAACCTGGGATTCAATTCTGTCACATCTGGAGGAAGGGGACGTTCCTAAGGCAGCTTCTGCAATCAAAGCTGCCTTGAAAGACATTGACAATGTGCCACTGAGCATCGCAGTGACAGGGGAGACCGGAGCAGGAAAATCTACTTTCATCAACGCCCTTCGGAGGGTAGGGCATGAGGAAGAAAGTGCGGCTCCCGCTGGGCCAGTGGTGACCACCACGGAGGGAACTGCGTACCATCATCTGAAGTGTCCCGGTGTGACAGTGTGGGACCTGCCTGGCCACGGCGGCACTGACTTCCCATTACCAAAGTACCTGGAGGAAATTGCTGATTATGACCTCTTCTTTGTCATCTCTGCCACCCGCTTCAAAGACAGTGATGCACAACTGGCCAGAGCCATTGCAAACATGAAGAAGAAGGTCTACTTTGTTCGAACAAAAGTTGATCATGACTTAATCACTGAGCAAAGAAGTAAGCCAAAGACCTTCAATAAGGACAAAGTCCTGCAAGAGATCCGAGATTACTTTGTGAGGCAGTTACAGGAGGCCAGTGTGACAGCTGATCGAGTCTTCTTAGTTTCCAGCCTCGAGAGGTCTGACTACGACTTCCCTGAGTTGGAAAACACCCTTCTGAGGGACCTGCCAGCTCACAAGCGTCACATCTTCACGCAGTTCCTGTCCAGCATTATGGAAGCTGCCATTGATCAGAAGCGAGATTCCCTGAAGCAAATGGTCTGGCTGGAGGCCCTGAAGGCTGGACTATGGGCAGCCATCCCTGTCATGGGCCTCTTCAGTGACAGTGATATTGAGAAGCTCCAGGAGACCTTAACCCGCTACAGGTCTTACTTTGGGCTGGATGACGCGTCACTAGAACAGATGGCCAGGGAGCTGCATGTGTCTGTGGAGCACCTGAAGGCAAACCTTCAGTCTCCTCACTTGCTGTCAGCGGAGACCGAGGAATCCTTATGGGAAATGTTGAAGCAGTACATTGAGAAGGTTCTTTCAGTCATGGGAGGACCCATTGCTGTTGGCCTTTACTTTACAAAGACCTTTTACTTGCAAAATTATTTCCTTGAGACTGTGGCAAGTGATGCGAAAGCTCTCCTTAAGAAAGAAGATCTCTTTGGTGACTCTGTGGGCTCTGAGGAGGGCTACAGCAAATAGGGGATGTGAGGAAGCCAGCCTCTGCCTTTGCCCCACTGTGCTCATGGCTCTGGACACTAGGAAGGCAGCTTAGGGCTCTCCTGAGGCAGCCAGGCCAGGCTGAGATGCTCTCAGGCATGGTCACTGTTGGGTAAATAAAGTAAGTAGTCTGGAGTTTTATGCTAAGAGGAGAGAACATCTTGCTGTATACTGGTTATTTCATACCCAGGACTCCTCTTATTGAGGATACAACAGTAAAAAATTGCTGGGTACTCAGTAATATTTCAACAATATTTTTGAATGGATGTATACATTGCATGTTTCCAGTATTCCTGACATTCTGCTACAAGTGTACACATTCTGATCATTAATAGAACAGTTAATGTTGACTGACATCTCCTGTTCCCTCGAGGGTTATCATTTATTGAGTAAATATGAAAGATAGTGAGCTAAGCATGGAGTGACCAGACATGAAGGAGAGATGCTGGCTAAGTCAAACTTTCATTCGGGTGCCTCATGAGAGGGCAAGTGTGCGAAATGAGAGCACCATCCAGGGGGTGCATGCGGGGACCTGGGGACTGCCAGGTCCTTAACACAGCACATTTGTTCCCCAATCTTCAGAGGTTAGGAAACGGGAGAGAAGAATATAATAATAAGATTAAATGTAGGAGACAAATAAGAGATATAAATGTTGCTTAAATATATGAAAACATGTTCCATCTCTCATCTAATAAGAGAAATGAAATTACAAACTATCTACACCAAGATAGTGTCTCACCTATATTTGGGAAAATTGCAAAATTTAGTTTATGGGTGAAATTGTCAAAAAATGTCATTTTATGTCTAAAGCTGCTGCCAATAGAAAAATGATAAAAGCTATAATTGGGAAATTAGACAATCTCTATGAAATTTATGCATATGTTCGACCCAATGATCCCACTTTAAACAATCTATGCTCTAAAGGTATGGAGAGTACAAATAGCTATATGCTGAAGGTTCCTGGATGCAGCACTATTTGAAATGGGAAAGATTGCAAACAATTCAAATGTTCTTTAATAGGGTTCATCACAAAACAGACGCCTTAACAGCCAGAATATGGAATGCGGAATACCCTGTCTGTCACTTGCAGGATACATAAAATGTCCAAAGCAAGGTGCAATAATGTGTATACAATAAATTGCTTCTGGTTCAAGAAAGTTCAAAACATAAATATATTTTGCACATATCTTAGATTAAAGAATGGAACAATCTTAGAAATGAAGTGTCATTATTTTGTTTGTTTGGTTGGTTTGTTTTTGGAGACAGGGTCTGGCTATGTAGTTCAGGCTGGTCTTGAACTCACTAGGTAGCCCGGCCAGGGCTTGAACTAGAGGTGATTCTCCTGCCTCAGCCTCCTCAGTGCTGAGATTGCAGGTGTGCACCACCATGCCCGGCTAAATGTCTTATTTTTAGAGGAAGAGATGTTTCTGGGTGGAGGGACGGGGAAAACACTAGATTTCATTTAGTACGTATTATTTTATCTTGTGAGCCTGAAAATGTTTATAGCTGCATAATCAAAAAAATTTCTTTTGGTACTGGGGATCGAACTCAGAACCTTGTGCTTGCAAAGCAGGCAGTGGGAACCCCTGAGCTAAATGCCCGGCCCGCATAATCAAATTTTTAAAATTACATTTATAGAAATACAACCAAAATCAAACAAACTAATCTCAGCTCGTTGGCCTAAACCAAGAAAAGTTATTTTAAGATTTTCAAACATGTCATGATAAAAGTAAATTTCTGGTGGATTACATTATAAGAAATGACAAACCACTTCCGGTCGACACCGGAAGCGGAAGGGGGCACGGGTCGGGGACCTTGGTTTCCGGCCCGTCGTGATGCGAAGGCTTCAGCTCCTGGTGGTCTTCGGCAGCCAGACGGGCACTGCCCAAGATGTGGCGGAGAGGCTGGGCCGCGAGGCTGGGTGCCGGCGGCTGGGTTGCCGCGTGAAGGAGCAGGACTCCTACTATGGTGAGGCTCGGAGGCCGGGCGGGAGACCCTGGGCCTGGTCGGAGCCGAAGCCGGGGAAGAGGAGGCTTGGCTGCAGGGCGCGGCCGACCTGGCCCTTTGCCGTCACTCTGAGAGAAGGGCGCCATGTCGGGCCTGTTCGTGGCAGCCAGAGCTCTTACACTTGTGTCTTTTCGTTGAGGCGAATCTGATTAGGGAGCCCCTGATGATATTTGTTTGTGCGACTACAGGCGAAGGAGACGCCCCTGACAACATGAAGGTAAGCCTGGCTTGGTGTGGCTCCCTCCACCCTAACCCCATTTTCGCCACTTAGAAAGTCCAAGAAGCAATTTAAGTCATTGCCCTTGGAGACACTTTAGAGGTGGTTCTGAGAGGATGCCTTTGAGGGGACCTGGGGGCTCTCGTTTGATGTCCTCGCCAATAAATTCTTAATAGACACACACACACACAAAACCAGGCACAAACTAAACAAATCTTACACTTTTTTCAGCAGCACTAGTGATAATAACAGCCATAGTTGTAATGGCATTGCTTTCCTTGGAATATCATGTGCTGTCACTTTATCATAAAGCAAATGCAATAATGCCAGTACCGTTAAATAATAAGATTTTCACATAAACAGCAAAAGGCACGGATATAAAAAAGGAAAAGTAAGTAAAAATCTGTTAAGGAAATAGCAAGTATACATGCAGGACATTTTTCCTTAAAAACGTATTTTTGTTTGTCCAGTTAGAAAAGGCATAGGGTAACATACGACCACTCTGCCATCTACACAGGGCCTTAGAACACTATGTACAATCCGTAGTCTGGAGCAGTGATTTGAACCAGGGAGGACTTTTCAGTCCAGTCCAGCAGATATAAAGGTAAAACTGAATTATATGGTCATAAATCAGCAGAACTGTCCAGAAATGCTGTGAGTATGTCAAACGACTCAGAGACAATCTGAGAAAGTTCCCACTGGAAAACAAGTAGAACAATTGGAGAGTCTGTGTGTACCACAACTGCAGTTGAAACATGTCCAGTTTGTTTCTAGTAAGTCAGTAAGGTCACAGCACAACTAAAATACATTTTATTGATTAACTGAAGTATGCTAAGGAAGCAGCCACCCTTAAAAAACAAAAAACCGGTGGGCTGGGGATTTAGCTCAGTGGTTCCGCCACCTGCCTTGCAAGCACAAAGATCTGAATTCAGTCCCCAGTACCAAAAACAAAAAACAAAAAGCTGATATACAAGGGAATAAATCATTACTGCTTTTTATGTGGGAGTATTATACTTGCCCTTCCTATACAAATTGTATAGCAACCAAATGATAGACGAGAACTCGTTCTTCATATCAGTTTTCCGCCAAAACATGCAGAAGGAATGATGCACTTAATATACTAACGTTTTCTAAAGCTTAAAAAGTAATGGGGTCTGGGCATGTAGCTCAGAGATAGAGTACTTGCCTAGCATGGGTGAGGCCCTGAGTTCAGTCCCTAGCACAGCCCTCGCAAAGGACATCTAAAGAAGTAAAAAATCCATACCCAAGCTCACCAAATTGTATATTTTTTGTTTTTTCTAAATTTTCGATTTTATTGGCATAAAGTTGATCAAAAGCATTCTCTCATCTTTTTTCAATTTTTAATTTTTATTAGTATATGCCTGAAGTACATAATGATCATATTCCTTTGGGGAATTGGTCCATGTACATAACACTTCTTAATTCTTTTTCGTCCCCTTCCCTTCCTCTCCCTCCCCTTTGCCTCCATTTCTTGGTCCCCTTAGGAAATAGGGAGATAGATCTTTCCCAATCTGTATACTTAGTATGTTAATCACACCCCAGTAGAATTGGGGAAGCTGGGCGTGGTGGCACAGCCTGGGAGGCTGAGACAGAAGGATAGCAAGTTTAAATCTAGCCTGGGCAATTTAGCAACTTAGCAAAAACTTGTCTCTAAATTTAAAGAAAAAATGTAAAGTATATGTAGCTCTTGTGAAGTCCTGGATTCAATTCCAATACTGTAAAAAAAAAAAAAAAAGAAAAAAAAAAGAAAAGAAAAATTAAAGATCTAGGCAATGATCATCTCTGACTGCTAACAAAAAGAGCAACAAGCAGGTATTTTATACCTCCCAGTGAAAGTACAAAGCTAACCAATAAGAAGTTTTCTTGCTCAAATCAAGATCTCTGAAGAAGGCTTCTGGAAGTATAGAGACCATGCCCCAATGTTAAATGATACCTTATGAACAAAATGATCAAATTCAAGGAGTATGGGAAACTCTGAAGTACATTTTTTTAATCTAATAATTGGAAAGGAAAAGAAAAAGTCTGGTGGTAGGGAACCAGTGGATTAAAGGCGAAATTAGAAACTTAGGAAATTGCAGTCTGTGGAATTTAGGAGAGGCTTATTCAAACATAACAGGGTTTATGTGAAAACCAGGGAAATTTGAACATTGGCCATTTTCTGATGATAAGGAACGACTGCCAATTTTATGCATGATAATGGCATTGTTCTTGTATGTAGGGAGCGGGGAAAGGGACGTTACCAGGACTACTGCCGTGGGTCCTGGCCTCGGAGCCACCACAGCACAAAGCAAATTCAAGAACAGACAGAAACAAGAGTTAGAATGGAGAAGCTGGGTCTTGGGTCCTGGTCGGTGCTGCTGATGGCAGCAAAGACAAAAGCCCCCAAGCACACCCAGTATTTATTGAATAGAATCATGGGAAGGAATAAGGAGCAGGGGAGCTTTGAAGGCATCTAGTGAGATACTGCTGAACACCTGGCACGACGGCACCAGGCAGGGCGGTTAGGGATTTGGCGCTGTTTATCTTGCTTGGATGGAACAGACCGGTACTGGGACCAGGTGCAATTAGCAAGCAACCCGTTGGGTCAGTGAGAAGCCATAATCCAGGCGAAAGGGTTTTAATGGGGGCATGCTGACCTCAGCTGCACATAACTCAGCAGAGCCCTGTCGCTTCCCAGACCAGGGCCTGGGTTTCCATGGCAGCCATTGAGGGAGGGGCTATGCTCGCCCACTCTGCCAGCTGACATGCCCTTTGGAGTCCAGTAGAGCTGCGGTCTGACTCCTGATGTAAAACAATATAGCTGAATTATGGAGAGCAAGATGCAGGTGCCACTCATAGCCCGCTAGTACTGGGCAGGGATGTCTGGTATACTTGTATATATAAAAAGTGCCTTTACCTTTTGTACTTGCTAAAATATTTATGACTGGTAATAAGTAGAATTTTCATTTAAAAATCGTGGGGAGGGCCTGGGATTTAGCTCAGGGATTCCCCCGCCTGCCTCTAAAGTGCAGGGTCCCAAGTTCGATCCCTGGTATCAAAAAAAAAAAAAAAGAGTCTGGCTTTAAAAAATGTAAGTCTTGCAGAGTGGAATTCAGAACTTCCAAAATAACACTATTTAGAAAGCCAATTTCTTATGCCTCTGTTATCTAAGATAGTCATGTTCTGGGTGAAGAAATGCATTCGCTTTAGATTTTGAATCACTCCCTCTGGGATGGCAGCCAGCAAGGAGAGCTCTTCCCTGTCGTGTGACAAACATCCTCTCCAGCACAGCGTGGCTTTCTTCTTCACTGCTTTGTGCCCTGAACGTAGAGCAGTGTGTGACATATGCCAGACACTTGGTGCTACGGAAACAACTCAGCTGATGCACACTGATCAACATTAACCATGTTTAAAATATTTTATTTTCCTGCCTGTGAGTTCTTCATACCTCTCTTCTGTCCAGGCCCATGGGCCACTAAGGGGTCAAGTCCTGTTTGGTCACAATAAGGACACTGAAGCCAAAAGTGGCCTCCAGCCCGTTTCCTTGCTGTGTGAAGCACACTGGATATAAAACTGTGTGAGCTGTGATCTGTCTTCATCCAAGCTTTGGTCTCTGGTGCATTTTAGAGAAGCCAAAGGCACTTTCCTGGTTTCCTAGCAGCCCTTCTGCGTGACCCCTCACCCAGCTCACCCTGGGAGGGGGACACTAGCCTTTGGGCTGTTTCTTCCAGGCTATGCCTGCACTCTTGGCCCCAGGTGACCCTGCAGGTGGCAGGAGCTGTGTCACTACTCCCACTTGAGTGTCTTCTCTCAGTTTAAAGGAACCTGTTGCAAACTCTGCTCAGACCACATTCACAAAACCTAACAATAAATGGGAACGAACTTCTCAGAATTTCACCACTCTCTGTAATGAACTATGGCTTCCCTGCTGCTTTGCTGAGGATCTTGGGTTAGTGTGTATGTGTAGATGCATGAACATTAACACACACACACTATTATAAAATTTGCCATTAATTTTTGGACATAATCTCTACTCCATTCCATTCTATTGTTTAAATATTAATTTGTGCCACTTAGTTGCTTTTACAGCTTCCAAACGGTCATATTCCACATGTGCAAGTGAAAATACTGCCTACATGCAGCACAGGTCTCAGTGGTCTGTTTGCTTTCCCTGTGTGCCATCGTGACTGGTGTGCTTCAGCTTGGATGGCTGCCACAGTTGGTGTGTGGACAGGGGACTCGTGAGCGAAGAGGGTACCCCACAAGCCCACAGGCCGTGCAGCTGGGCAGAGATGACTATGCCTTGTGTAAACAGGGTCAATGACCGAGTGGCTGGAGCCACGGTTCATGGCAGTGTTGACAGACCTCACCCAGCAGGACGGGCAGGGCAGGACTCTGTTCACACACACAAAGTGAGTGTGGAATAAAAACAGGGCTTAGTAGTGACTTGTTAGTCCTCCTCACATCTGGTGGCTTCCTATACTGCATGCTCTGGAAAGAAACCACTCATCCGAAAACTTTTTGATTCATTTCCCTTTTTCTTTGTTGGTTTTTGGAGTTCGAGTTTTTCTTCTCTTTTTTTCTTCTCTTTTTCCTTTCTTTTGATCTTTGTTTTATTCTTTTTTCTCATTTTTCTTTTTCTTATTTGTTCTTTGCTGTTATTTTTATCTAATTTTCTTATACTCTTTAATTAAATATCTTAATTTTCTCCCTTTTTTCAAATTTTTCTTCTTTCATTTTTTCCTTTTGTTAGTGTAACTATCAAACTTAATTTTTAGATATTTAGTTGACCATGCTCTTGTGAATTCTTTTCTATTAGTGGTGCTATAGTTACATTTAGTACCTATTTACTGCATGTTAATATTTGGTTTGTCTTTGTGACTATATTATTATTGCTGTGATCTCCTGTCAATTGTTAAAGGTCATACAGTGGTAGCTTTTATTGGTTCTTATGGTACGTTAATATCCAGTTTGTTTTTGACTCTATTACTGCTGCTGCTGTCTTTGCTATTGGCAGTGGTGGTATAGTTGTTGCTGCTAATTGGTTTTTACTATATGCCAATAGCTGTCTTTTTGTCATCAACAGTACTGCAGTTCACTTCTAGAGAACTGAGTGGTGGGCAAATTACATCGCAGCCTTGCCTTCCAGAATTAGCTGAGGTGCTTTGATCCCGGGAGGGAGGCAAAGCCCTGTAGTTCACCACACCCAAAGCCATGGTTTGTAGATGGGAGGGATATTGACAGGTCATCAAGATTGGCAGGCTTCTCACTCACAGGCAAGCAACCAAGCCAATTATGAGGGAGTGAAGAACAAGCTCAGAGATCAGAAACTGAACTCAGACGGCAATATAAATGGGGCTGTGCGGTTGCTTTAATTCTGTGTTCTTGCAACTGTATGGGGTTATTAATTGTTTCTATTTTCCTCCTCCTCTGTCTTCCTCTTTCTTATCCGTTTATCTTCTGTCACTTCTGTTCCTCCTTTCATCTGCATATGTGTAGGAGTTGTCTCTACATATGCAAAGGAAAATAAGAATTAGACACTGCTTTTATTTATTTTTTTTCAGCGGATTTTTTTGGTACTGGGGACCAATTGTGCATAGAGGATCCAAACACGAGCCAAATACCAAAATCTCAACAGGTTCTGATACTCACAACTTCTCTGAATCTCCAGCTATGCTTCCTTCCCTCTCTATCCCCATTCCTGTTCCCACAAATATTTTCTCAAAGCCCCTCAACACTAGCCCTTTACTTCAGTTGTAAAATAATTCCAACAAAATCAGATCTCCCATCTGTTTTTTCATCTATTGATATTTCTGTTCTCTCCTCTTCTAACTGAATTACCTCCTTCTTTTTCTCTTTCTTTTTCCTTCCCCCATCCCTGTTAGTAGCAGTATAGTACAATCTGTACTGGGCGTTGATAAAGGGTGAAATTGTTAAAAACAAGTTTTAATGTACACGATTGATGTAAAGTTGGATCTGGTGACATTGATGTAAGTGCTAGGGATTCTCTTCTTGAAACAAAATGACTGTGTCTGATCCTATTGAATTAAGGAGGTAGAACAGGTAGATAAATAACAGAATGCAAACAAAGCCAAGGTAATATCAATGGAAAGTAGACACTAACTAAAGACAACTCCATAGTAACAACAAAGTCTTTACACGCTAATCAACTGTCAGTCTTCAGCATAAAAAAGCTGAAATGAAGAAAGAAGAAGCAAACAAACAAAAAACTAGATCAGTAAGGTGCTCAGTGAGCTCAAAAATGATGTAACTAAACAAAATGACTTGCTAAACAAAATACATGGTATTTTAGAATGGTCTCTACCATGCTCTCTGGCCTACTATTTTGGCTGGCATTGGGATGGACTCCAACATTCGCTTACAGCCCATGGGCTCCTGACCAAGTCTCCGAAACAGATATCCAGAGCCTGCTTCATGGTGTTATGGAGCAATTGGGCATTGCCAGGCCACGGGTGGAATATCCAGCTCACCAGGCTGACGGAGCCCGCCGTCACTTGTCGAACAGCACCTGAATGGGGGAGTGAGGATGAAGAAAAAGAAAGACACAGAGATAGAGTCGGGAGGGCTCCCAGAGAGATTGAGAGCCCAAGTTTATTTTTTCTGGATCTTTTATACACTGGACAGGCTGTGGCTATTTTTAGTCCTGGCCTTGATACAGAAACGCCCACTTCTCTTTTCTTTGGAATTTCCCCATTCTCTGGAATTTCCCTGTTCTTTTAGTTCTTTATATCTCTGGGTAAAAGAACATTCATCATGGCACAGGACAATCTTTAAAGATAAGCATGTGGCTTGGCAGGGACAGAGTATTCCCAGAGCTGATATCTTGTCCTTTACGGTGGAGGGCAAAGTTAAAATGGAATCTTCATAGCTAACACCGCCTTCCACACCAGGCCATGAATCTTGTGGGCCCACAGAGTATCGAAGGTGGAGCACATGAAGGTCTGCAATACTTGGGTCCTTTTGGCAGCATCCCCAACATTGTGGCAGAGTTCACTGGCGACAACATTCCTAAGGACTTCAGCGAGGATCAGGGTTATCCTGACCCTCCAAATCCCTGTCCTGTTGGCAAAACAGATGATGGATGCCTAGAAAACACCCCTGACACAGCGGAGTTCAGTCAAGAATTCCAGTTGCACCAGCACCTTTTTCATCCAGAACATGACTACCCAGACTTGGGAAAGTGGAATAAGAAACTCCTTTATGAGAAGATGAAGGGAGGACAGAGGCGGAAGCGGAGGAGTGTCAATCTGTATCTGCAAGGACAGAGGCTGGACAATGTTGTCGCAAAGAAGTCTGTCCCCCATTTTTCAGATGAGAACAAGGACCCAGAGTAAAGAGAAGATACTGGGTGGAAACTCATGCCCCTCACTGTTAATGTGCATGTGTCACTAAAGCCCCTGAGAATGGCAGCATGTTTCTGATGTAGTTAATTATGGATGAAAAGCAGCTGCATTCACATTGTCCTTCACACTGATGGCTCAGCTTTCTGCTAAGTTTAAATAGGAGCTCTTTTTGTTTTTGTTTTTTCTGCAATGAACATTAACATTAAAATGTATATGTCAAGTAAAATAAAAAATAAAGCTAGGAAATGCTCAGATTTCTTGCAGTTTAAATGGTGTTTAGGGCTGTGATGCTTTGACCAAGTCTGCAAAAAAGCTAGCATTTGATTTTGATTATACAGTGCATCCAGCCCCCGGGCCCTGTTACACACCAATAAAGAAGTCTGTGCTCTCGGGAAGGACCTGACACATCTCTCTTGGCTGTATCTTAGTAAATGTTTATGCAAGCAAAAAAAAAAAAAAAAAATGAATGATACCATTCAAAATAATCATTGAGCTCAAATAAATAAAAAGCTAGCTGAGCTATCAAAAACAATACAAAACATGAGTGACCAAGTTACAAAGAAATGGACTCCCTGAAAAGGTAGAAAACAGAAGTCTAGGAGACTAAAAAAATTCTGTTGAAAGTATGGGCAACAGGAGTGAATAATGTGAGGAGTTTCCGAAATGGAAGATAGGGACTAATGACTGTGACTGTGTATTCAGAAACACCTTGAAAACAGCAAGAGGTGGTGGGAAACGGATCCACACCTGATAGATGACACAAAGAAGGCTACACAAGATTAATTGGAATTAGTAAACATCAAAAGACTGCATGAATAGCATAAAAAACCTATTTACAGAAATAATAGGAGAAAACATCCAAGAATGGGGAAAGAATTTAACATACAGATAAGCAAGACATATCAACCACAAAGAGCCAGGGCCCAGAAGAACTTCTCCACGGCACATAACAGTCCAAATCCCAGAACAGAAGTTCAACACAAGGACAGAATCATAAAAGGTGTTAGAGAAAAGCAACAAATCACTTCTAAAGTTAAACCTAAAAGGCCAGGAGAGCTTGGAGTGAGGTGTTTCGAGCCCTTAAAATGATTTCCAACTCAGACCTATTTCCTGGAAAACTATTTTCAAAATTGATGGGAAAGTGAGGTATTTCCATGACAAAGAACATCTTGCAAAAGTCATGATCACCAAACCAGCATTCAAAAGATTCTTAAGGATATCCTCGAAAGATACAGTGAAGCCAAAAATGGCAAAAAGTCTAATGGGACTTCATTTTGCATCTTTCCCAGTGTGCTCTCAAATAACCAAAGTGGTGCCAGATGTGACTGATAACCTTTCAGCCTGGACACTGAAGGGAGTTGCAAAGTAGGGGGCCAGTGATTTTCCAGGAGATCTCTCATCCTTTTGCTTTGAAAAGATTATCCTGATAATCAGATACTCAGACTTACCACTTGGCGAGCTTCACATTCATTATCACGCGAGCAGAGCGCTATTCTGATTACCGGCAGAGGCTGTAGCCGAAAAGATTACTGTGGATCATCATGGAAGATATTTGTACAGAAATGATGTCCAAGCAAGGCTGGGAAGGACAGGTTCAAGTAAGTAAGGCAAATGGGAGGAAGAAGGAAAATTCCTTGAGGTATAGCGAAGCTCATGAACACAGACCCAGAAAATGAGGTAGTTTGAAACACCTGGAGAAATGAAGTAAACCTGCTGCTGGAGCTAATATTCCAGTCTCAGAAGTGGTAGGCAGTGAGGGCTAGAGACACAGAAGGTTCTTGAATGGTGCACTAGACTAACTGATGCGCCATTATCATCTCAGGGACACGAGCAGGGAAATAAAGCTTGTGAGATGACCATAAAATTAGCCTCCAAAGGATGACACTGTAACAAATGAAAACAAATCATCTCATTCCTGCCGGGATATCTGGTCACCCTACACATATGAGGGTCAACTAAAGCTGTGTGCAACTGTGTAGGGAATGCCTGGGTAAATGAGAGAGCGATCACGAAACTGCTGCGGTCCATTGGAGAAATAGCAGGGGAAGCAAATAATTGTGACATATGAAGCACGTGAAATGGACAAGGTGTATGTATTTCAGGGTGTTGTGAGCATAAATGAAAGAGAGATCTAGATCTTTGCTTGGTCCCTTGCTCAGTGAGCGATCTGAGATAGGATATGGGAAGGCAGTAACTTGTTGCAGACGTGAGATTAGGTAAATACTGATGACTAAATTAGCTCTGGATGTGTTTAGCAGTGGGCTACTGTTATGGCTGTGTCTAGATCCCTCCCCAGGCCTCAAGCAGTCATAGGCAGGGCTTTTTCAGAGGTGGCTGGATCTAGAATATATGACACTGGGATTGATTCATGGTGCAGTGCTAGGACCAAGGCGATTAGGATTAAGGGTGTCAGTGCTACCTGCCCTAAAGGCAGGTAGTTGGGATAAGCTATAAGGGACAGGAAGAGCCATAGTCATCCCTTCCTTGTTGCTTTTGCTGTCTTCTGTCCACCATGAACTGTCTCTCCTCTGCCATGCCACCCTGCCTTGGAACCAGACAATTATGGACTGAAACATCTACAATGTATGAGCTAAATAAACCTTTCCTCCTTTAACTTTGGGTGTCTGGTATTTAGTTTCAGCAACGAGAAGGTTAACTAAGACAAATACTCCTAACTCAAATATTTGTAAAATTGTGTTAAAAAGCAAAGTGGGTGATGAGCACTGCTTGTACTTAGGTCACAACTGTGGTTCATGTTGCCACTTGAATTGATCATTCGCCGTGTTTCTTACTGAAGGCACTGACAGCTTCATAATTTGCAGACTTCTCTGCACTCCAGGATGACCACTTCCTTCCATCCCACGTGGACTCTCTGCCCTTCTCCATTCTGTTAGACCCCCCAGAGGGATGATGAGCCAGACTATATCTTACCCTCCAGAAGGAGTTGGGATTTGGCTGATGGGCAGCAGAAGCGCGAGAAGGGTGGGGAGCAAGGCCAGAGGTCTGCTTCTCTCTGCTCCCTCTGCCAGGCATCTGGAGTCAGGTGAGCTCCTCCTGCAGCCGCAGCTGTGAGATGCATCCCTCCATCAGCCACCATCTCCAGGGCCAATAGTCTGCCCTGCTGTGCATCTGCTTGTATTGGTATAGGGTTTGAGTTCATCCTCCAGAGGTATGTGTGCGGGGATCTTGGGCCCCAGCATGGTGGTGTTGAGATAGCAGAATGGCTAGGAAGTGGGGCCTCCTACAAGGCAATCAGGACACGGGAAAGAGTAAGGCTAGTCTCTAGGAGTGAGTCAGGTCCCGTGGAAGTGGGTTGTTGTAAAGTGGGGCAGTCTGGCGCTTAGCTCTCTCTGGCTTCCTGTCTCACCTGCTTACTGTTTCTCACCTTTCCACACGCGTCTAAGGTTATGGTGCCATCCGCAATGAAACATGCACCAGAAGCTGAATGGGTGTTCTTGAATTTCAGCCTCCTTCTGTGAGTAAATAAATATCACTTTCATTTATATTTCATACTTTGGGTAAGTTTTATAGCACCAGAAAATCAATGTAAACATTGCCTGTCCCTGCCTTAAGGAGGCCACACCTCACTACTGTGCAGTCGGGCCAGCACATTCCCTGTGGGCTCCTGGCATCTCCCTCGCACACTTGAAAGAAACATCCTCTGCATCTCCCCAAATGACCCAGGATACAGTCTGCTGAGGACCTCTGTTTCCACCGGAAGTGGACTCGTAGAAACCTCCTTTTCAGTACTCCCTCTTCAGACACTGATTGTTTTCAGGTGGGCAGAAGTCCTGCCTGGAGTCTGGTCCCCAGCACCCAACAGAAGTCAAAGAACAGTAGTAACCAGCCCTGTTTGCCCTCTAAACGTCCCGGCTGAGTGTTTACCAGGCAAGTCTAAGAAATGGAAGGAGAAAAGTAAGAAAAGGCTCTAGTGAAGAATTAACTCTAAGTGCCTCGAGAGAAAAACAGACTGATTTAGATATATATCACATTTACAACTGAAAGCAAAATGTCTACAAACTTAACCCAGTTAACTTGATCAATGATTTCAATAAATACTCTTCCTCAAAGGAACACTGCATTAAACAGAGGGAAGAAAGGTTGGAAAAGATAGTCTGATCTTCCTGGCTTTCCTTCCAGACTTCAGGCCACAGCGGGCTCCTGCTAACTGCTCTGCTCTTTCTACCTGAGTCCTGCCTCCTCTGTCTCACAGGAGGGACTCTGGCCAGGCCAGCTTTCAGTTTTTATTTCCTGGAAATGACTGGTTTCCAGGATTCAGTCAGGCAGTTCCCACACTCTCCTCAGGAGGGGTGAGAGAGCTAGAGTGCTGCAGGAGCCCAGCTCCGGGGCGCCCTAAGTCTGCTCTGGGACCAGGACAGTCCAGCACAGGATCAGAGACTACTGCATCTGACCCTGCTGCTCCCCACCTGAGACCCCAGCTCAGAGGAGGGCATCTACCTTGTGCAAGGGCTCCGTCCAGACCCCAAGAGGCCCGGCACCTCCATAGCTGCAGGCAGAGTGCTGCTTCCTGCCACTCATCTCTGCTGCTGCAGCTCCCTCCCTGGGTGCCTCTGCTCTCCCCCAGCACTGTCATCTGCCCTGGCCAGGCACCTGCTCCCCCCAGGGTGAGCTAAGTGCTACCTCCTTCCGGCCTTAGTGTCTCCAGAGTCTGAAAGAATTCATAGTTCCTGGCCCACCCTCTTGTCCACATAACTGATGGGCACTGTCCTGGCAGTGTGTGTGTTCAGAGGACCCCCTTAGACCACCGATGTGGCAGGGCATGGGGAGGTGACATCCACATACAACAAGACACCATGAAGGCAGGATCCAAGGGTGCTAGATAAAGCCCCACTCAGAATTACAGAAATGAAAACATTAGAAGGTGGCTCAGGAGGTATAAAAAGTTTATTCCCTGAAATCAGAGCAGAACTTTTCAAAGTCTAGGGAAAGAATTCAAATACAAGAGGCATATAGAACCCCAAATAGCCACAAGTGGAAAAGAATCATTCCAGGGTGCATTATAATCAAAATTACAGAGATACAGAGAGGAAGGAGAGACAGAGCTAAAATTATTAGAGAAAAATAGCAAGTAACTTCTAAAGCCAAGCATATCTGAAGAACAATGGATTTCTCAGCACAAACCTTAAAGGCCAAAAGAATTTGAAGCAAAGTTCTGCAAGCCCTAATGGAAAATAACTGTCAGCCCAGACTTTCATATCCTGCAAAATTAACCTTCACAACTGATGAAGAAGGAAAAACTTCCCATTACAAAAAATATGAGACCACTAAACATCTACCCACCTATACTTCTTGGTATCTTCCAGTAAGAGTTGTAGACATTGTGTTTCGGTGATCCATGCACACCTATGTTGATAGCACAACTTATAACAGCTAAATCTTGGAAGTAGCCTACATGCAATTTGCTATATCCACACAATGGAGTACTACTCAAGCATAAACAATAAGTTT